TCCTGAAGAGATGATAGAGAAGAGGAAAGAATCAGCAAGTTTTACACATACACAACTAGTAACCTTTAGCGTACAGTGCCATCTACTGGTCAAGTGATATTACCACAGAATACTGTATATAGTACATTATAGTACATGCTGTTGCATTCCCAACACCCCTTCTCAACGGCATGTGCATAATTATATGACATTTAGTCTCTTTTGTAGAAAACAATGACGTTCCCTTGGCAAAGGTTTGGTGAGTGCGTCTGCAGTCATCTCCTCTGATGGGCAGTACTGGATGTCGATAACCCCTTGTTCTTGCATGTCTCTGAGCAGATGATATCTTACATCAATGTGCTTGGTTTTTGGGTTAATCTTCTCAGAGTGTGTAAGCTTTATGCATCCCTGATTGTCTTCAAAGATGGGTGTGGGTTGTGACATATTCAGTCCCATGTCTAGTAGAAGTTGACGAATCCAAATGGCTTCTTGACATGCATGTGCTGCTGCTATGTATTCCGCTTCAGTTGAAGAGAGTGCAACAGTCACTTGTTTCCTTCTGTATCATATTTCACTTTAAAAGTCCATTTGCTTCCGATGGTTTTGCAACCAGGAGGGAGTTCTGTTAGTGACCAAGTTTTATTTTCTTGAAGTGATTTCATTTCTTCTTCAGCTGCTTTTCTCCACTGATCGCCTTCCCTTCTCGGCAAAGTTTCTATGTCTTCCCAGGATGTTGGCTCCTGTGTTTGATGTGTTTTAGCAGCGTATGATAACCTGCGGGGTGGTATCCCTTTTGTCATTCGAGAAGATCTTCTGATTTCTTGTTGTTCAGTGGGTTCTATTGGATCGTTGATTGTAAGTTCCACTTCTTGTTCTGGCTCTTGTCCCGCTTCGCACGAATCAGTGTCTCTTGCCGATTCAGCGTGTAAATCCTCTCCACATTTTTCAAGAATTATATTATCTGGTGCTTCACTTTCATCAAAATAAACACTGCGGCTTACTGTGACCTTGTTGGTCTTTGGACAAAGGATTCTATATCCCTTACTCTGCTCACTGTAGCCGACCAGAATGCCTTCTATGGCTTTGTTCTCCAACTTGGAGCATTTCTGACTTGGAATGTGGGCATATGCTTTACAGCCAAATACTCTGATGTGTCCTACATTAGGTTTTGATCCATTCCACATTTCATATGGTGTACTCTCAATAGATTTTGATGGGAGCCTGTTTTTGTAGGTATGTTGCAGTCATTATTGCTTCTCCCCAGTATTTGTTAGGTAAGCCAGCGTCCGTAATCATACATCTGGTCATTTCTACAAGAGAGCGATTCTTTCTTTCCGCTACACCGTTTTGCTCAGGAGTGTATGGTACAGTTGTTTGTGTATAATACCTTGTTTCTTTAGGTATGATTCCATCTCTTTATTCATATATTCCCCTCCATTGTCAGTGCGTATTATTCCAGGTTTCCTTTGAAACTTGTTGCTGGTCATAGCTACAAACTCTTGAAATTTTTCTAATGTCTCACTTTTGTGCTTCATTAGATACGCTATTGTGTAACTGGAATAATCATCGATGAAAGTCAGTAAATATCTGTTCCCGCCAGGTGTGATGGTTTTCATTGGTCCGCACACATCACTGTGTATCAGTTCCATGGGTTTAATGGTTTTACTCTGACTGGTCTGTGGAAGAGGGGTAGGGGTGGCCTTTGCTTTGATGCAACACGTGCACTTGCTGAGTGTGTGGCAAGGCAATATTTTCATGTCTTCTGATAGACCTCTCTTTGCAAAGTCCTTTATAGCTTCTGGGTTTCGATGCCCCAGTCTTCTATGCCACAGGTGGATGCACTTGTCATGTGGGTTATGAGTTGCCGCATTAGCCTTCTCACTTTCAGTGATGAGTTTGTACAGATGTTCATTTAATCTTCCTCTTGCTAGAATTTGCTCTCCATTTTGAATTGTGCATTCATTACCTCTGAACTGGACAGAGAGTCCATTGCTTGCAAGGGTTTTAACTGATAGGAGGCTTCCTTCTAGGCTTGGAACATATAGAACATTCTTTACAAGGATGCTCTGCTTGCCCCCTGATGGCGTTTTGCAGTTCAGAAATCCCTGACCTTTACCTTCCGCTGTAATACTTTTCCCATTTGCTAGGAAGACTTTATCTTTTACACTAAAATCAATTTCTGTGAAGAATGTCTCGTCACTTGTCATGTGACTTGTTGCCCCTGAATCAATGTACCATCCATGTGAGGTACTATTCTGAGTCACTTTAAAAGTACCACTCCATGATGCACTTTCATGACTGCTTTAGCTCTTTTCTCTTGTGGGTAGCTCCCGCTTTCGCTGCTCAGCTTTCCAGATTGAACAGTTCTTTTTCAGGTGACCGGCCTTTTTGCAGCGAAAACATACCCTGGTTTCTCTGCTTTGTCTTATGCCTTCATGCACCTTCAGAGCTGCCTCTGGTCTCTCATTCTCTTTACTATGCAAATTTTCCTTTCTTCTGCTGTATTCATCAATTAATTTTCCCTTAACATATTCTAGCGTCAGTTCAGTTTCCGGTCTAGTTTCTAGAGCATTTATAAGGGCACTGTATGATTCTGGAAGGCTGCACAGAAGTAGCGCCACAACATGGTTGCCTTTTATTTCTTCACCTATTGCACCCAGCTGGTCCACAATTTCTAGCATAGCATTTACATGTTCACCCATTTCCTGCCCTTTTTCCAGCCTCATCTTGTACAGTTTGCGTAGCAGATATAGTTTACGGTTTAGGTTTGCACGTTCATGCAGCTTTTGTAATGCAGTCCACATACCTTTAGCTGTGCTTTCTTTCCTTATATGAATGAGTTGATCATCCTCCACTAACAGGCTTATGACTGCTTTTGCTTGCCTGTTTTTTCTGTCCCATTCTTCCGGGTTGTCATTGGGTCTGTGTGTATCTAGTGCCTGCCACAAGTCATCTTTGGATAACAGCATTTCAAGCTTAAACTTCCATAGCTGGTAGTTGGTGTTGTTGAGCTTTGCTATTGTGAACTTCATATCTGAAGCACTTGCCATCTTTCAGTGAATTGGATTGTAAATGCAGCACTTACTTGCTTGTAGTTTTCCTTTTTTTTTTTTTCAGTGTCTGGAGCTGGGCCCATAACCTGTTGGTTATGTGTTATAGAAGACACTGGTAGTGATGGCAGAATTCAGGCTTTACTTGTGTGGCTTAAGTTACAAACATACAGAGCACATTGCAGCAGACATATTACAGACACATTACTTCCTGAAGAGATGATAGAGAAGAGGAAAGAATCAGCAAGTTTTACACATACACAACTAGTAACCTTTAGCGTACAGTGCCATCTACTGGTCAAGTGATATTACCACAGAATACTGTATATAGTACATTATAGTACATGCTGTTGCATTCCCAACAAAAACAAAAGGGGAAAAAGCCTAAAAAACAAAAACCAATAAAATCGCCACATCTAATGATTGATAAACTGCAATATATTACATTTTCAGTTTTGGGTTTGACGCTGAAGCTCCTAACAGTAGCTCTATAGTCCTTTCAGAAAGCTAGACTTCTAGACTTTCTGTAACGGGGGGGGGGGGGGGGGGGATTTCCTTTTTGGGATACAGGTTTTACATTAAAAAAAAAGCCAATCATTGTAAGCACCTGTCAGTGGTATATGGTTTGCCTCAACCCGCTAACTGCTACATCTGCAGAGCAGGTTGTTCTGTTGAAAAATAGATTTCCCACCAGGTGCAAATAAAGGAAAGAAAACCTAAAAAGGAAAAACTAATATAATACATTTGCTTTTGGGTTTAATTCTGCGGCTGCAGCTATGGGAACATGTTACATGTTCCACCCTAAAAGCAGGTGGAACATGTAACATGTTCCAAAGGTGAACTTATCCTTTAACCACTTGCCTACCGGGCACTTATACCCCCTTCCTGCCCAGGCCAATTTTCAGCTTTCAGCACTGTTGCACTTTGAATGGCAATTGCGCGGTCATGCAACACTGTACCCTTATGAAATTTTTATAATTTTTTTCACATAAATAGAGCTTTCTTTTGGTGGTATTTATTCACCACTGGGTGTTTTATTTTTTGTGCTATAAACAAAAAGAGCAAAAAATTAAAAGGTTTTCTTTGTTTCTAAACAAAAAAAAGGGCAAAATTTTTTTTATTTTAAAAAGTTTTGTTTCTATTATAAAATTTTGCAAACAGGTAATTTTTCTCCTTCACTGATGTGCGTTGATAAGGCTGCACTGATATGCAACAATGGGCACTGATAGGCGGCACTGACTGCCGGCACTGCTTGGCACAGGTGGGCGGCACTGGTGGGCACTGATCATCAGTGCCTTGATGATCGGTGCCGATCCCTCCTCTGACAACTGTCGGTTATCAGCAGTACTTTCCTCAAGCTGTGACAGCATGAGAAAAGTGCAGCTGATAACCGGCAACTGCATTTACCGGTAATCTGCTGTGTCATTGGACACGGCTGATCACGTGGTAAAAGGCCGCTGTGAATGGCCTTTTACCACATCACATGATCAGCTGTGTCCGTAGGACACAGCGATCATGGAGATCGCTGGGTATGTGTCTCCGGGGGAGCACAGGAGAGCGCGCTCTGGGAGGACGTCATATGATGCCCTCCCAGAACTGGCCAGCCGCAGTGAAGGAGTCATTCGGCTATCTACGGTCAGAAAGTGGTTAATAGGAGACTCCTATAAAGGATTCCATGAGTAGAAATTTGTTGTTTCAGAGTGAATAGTATAGACACCAAGGGCTTTAAGAACTGACGTTACTTTGTCTATCAATAAATATCAGACATGATCCAAAAGTTTTTATCTGATCAAACAGAAGGCTCAAAGTCATTAAGCGACTCAATCTTTAGCCTGCTATAACTGCACTCTATTCTAGCTTGAGAATTTATCTTTTAAAATGCTGAGCAATCCCTATTAGCATATTCCTGCTGTTTTGTAGCTTTAAATCAGATTCAATCAGCCTTACAGAACAGAAGGAGGAAACCCTTACCAGACTTTGCCACAATAGATTTGCGACCACGCTTCACAGGAGATTTCTCATCATCTGAACTAATCAACTTCCTTTTTCCAGACAGTGGAGCTAGAGAACTGCGGGACACCTCGGTTCCTTTTCTGGTTGGGGTGCTAGTATTCGATGTACTGGAAGTGGTTGGTGAGCTCATCACACTTAAATTACTTCTTCGTTTCCGCTTTCCTTCTACTAGATTATCTGTAAGTAAAAGAAACAGAATTAGCAAAATAGTTCTAGGTAACAAAAATCAACCATGGATATACACCGATCAGCCAGAACATTATGGCCGCTAACAGGTAAAAGGAATAACATTGATTATCTGGTGACAATGCCATCTGAAAGTGGGTGGGATATATTAGGCAGCAAGTAAACATGTTGTCCCTGAAGTTGATGTGTTGAAAGCAGAACAAAATGAGCAAGCTGAAAGGAGAAGTTCACTTTTGAAACATGTTCCACCAGTTTTTAGGGTGGTACATGTAACATGTTCCCATAGCCGCAGCCGCCCCGGCACCCCCCCCCCCCCCCCCCCGACAGATAGTACGGGAAGAAAGACTTCTCCTTGTACTGTCAAAATCTGACAACAGCGCAGCCGCGGGGGCTCCACCCACATGGTCGCATCACTCATTCACGGACTTCTATAAATGAATGAACTGCAAGTCCCGATAGCCTTAGCGTCTGTGGACTTGTAGTTTTCAATTAACTATGACGGCGTTGTGGAGCGCAGTGATAGTTCATTGAAGATTCCTGTCAGTATATTGGCTTGCTTGTATATCCCGCACGGCAAGCAGGCATTCTGACAGGTCTGCAGGAGACCTGCATGGCATCAGTGATCTACTGATAGCTGGTGCAATGCTTTCCAGGCTCCTTTAGACAAAAATAATAAATGCACATTTTATTTACCTGTAAAAAAAAAATGTGCGTTTATTATTTTTGTCCAAAAGGTGAACTTATCCTTTAAGGTTTTCAGCAACGCTGACAAAGGTCAAATTGTAATGGTTAGACAATTGTGGGATGTTCCTGGCCTGCAGAGGTCAGGACCTACCAAAAGTGGTCCATGGAAGGAAAACTGGTGAACCAGTGACAGTCATGGGTAGCCAAGACTCACTGTTGCATGAGCAAACGCTGATCTGTGTAGTCTGATCCAATAGATCTACACTGTATCTGAGCACCATAAACCAAAAGCAATAATGAATTCATTTAGAAAATTCAAAGCAAATTCCCCCAATCTATGTCGCCATGCTTTATTTTGCTGAGAAATCATGTAGAAAATCATCCTCTAGCATTTTTGGCTGTGGCCATCTTGAGTAAGGGCAGGTGATTAATGTGGCATTTACTTCCTCAAATCCATCTGCCCTTAGTTCAGACATGTAGGCAGGAGGGTGTGCTTAGCTGGGAAAAGCCCCTCCTTCCCTCCTGAAGGCTCCCGGGATGTATGACATCATTTGCTAGGCACTGAGACCAGGAAGTAAAGAAATGTAAAAACCTGTTTAAAACATGTAAATATGATACTTTCCTATCCATTTACTATTCGCTAGCAACAAATGGATTCAGAACAGTCCATGATGATTGAGAGAATGAAGTTTCACTTTAATGTGGATTCCAATAGAAAGTGGTCAGTGCAGCGCAGTTTGTTGTGCATGGGGCTGCGTAGCCATAGACTGATCAAGATCCCCATCTGACCCATGTCAGCACCTACATGAGCATCAGAACTGGACCATGAAACAATGAAAGAAGGTGGCCGGGTCTCAATCACGCTTTTCCTCTTTTACATCATGTGGATGGCCGGATGCATGTGCATCAATTACCTAGGTAAGAGATGGTAACATGATGCTCAATGGGAAGAAGGCAAGCCGACGGGGGCAGTGTGATGCTTTGTCTTGTAGAGTCCATTCCTTGACAGGTCAGGGTTGTTTTGCAGGCAAAAAGGGGGACCTACTCAATATTAGGTGTGGGTGATCATAATGTTATGGCTGATCGGTGTATCACATATGTGATGGATAGAATTAGAATTCTAAACTCTGGTTAGGTATAGAAAATCTAAGCTGTACATAGAGATGGCAAGCATTAGTGTTTTGCTTGACAAAGAGTCCAATATAAAATGATCAACCAACAGGACAAGTGAAACATGAGAGGCTGCAGAAAACACATTACCAAGACTTATGTCTGATCCTTTGGTCAACGGCATTGATGGCTCATAGGGGCCGAGGCCAAACTGCTCTCTGAGCTTATTTCCTTGTTCCAGGGACAGGATAACCGCCATCCTTTTGTACCATTTCCTTTGTCCTTCCTTTTCAATGCAGTACCACAGTTCTCCAGAATCTCTCTTGTGAGCTTTTACCACTCCTATAAAACATAAATCAAGGCAATATTTCAAAATCTGTAAAGGTATATGATATCTAAATGTATATCAACCTAAACAAACATGGGTTCCCAAAGACTAGGCTGAATTGGGGATGGCACAGGCACCTATAATTTATTAGAAAGATCGAGCACGGAAATTAACCAGTAAATTCCCTCCAAAAAAACAGCAGGTCGACCAACACTAGCCATTCCACGGGTTGCAGGAAATAATTCACTCGATTTCCCCATCAACACAGTTGTTGATGGGGGAATCCCTCCCATGAGGCTTTGTTTTCCGTGCAGAGAGGCACGGTGGGGAGCCATCCACATCGGGAGAACCAAGTGATTATTGCTAGCAGCTATAGCCACTGGCAATAATCGCATGAAAAATCTGTAAGGCTGGTTGTACCCAAGTCGATTGTTGTATGACTTTGGTACAATCAGCCTGCTCATAGATGGTTTGAATCTCAGCCAGTTCCTGCTGAACCGACCGGGATTCAAACCATGACTGGCTTTAGATCAAAATTTCAATTCATCTATGGCCAGTTTAAAACGTAAATGTTCAAACATTGTACTAGATTACATCTGTAGTAAAATTCTAATTCCAGACCCTTTCTGTAGATGCCAAAGTTTACTGAAATATAGAAAAAAAAATACATACCTGCACTAAAATATTCATCTTCTGAGAGGGCTGTCACCTCCGTATCCAAAGGAATAGGGTCACATAATAAAATATCTTTTCCTAGAACGTCACATTCATAGCCATCATCAAACAGTAGCTTGTATTTACCAGCGCCAGCATCCCGAGTAATTGTGCCAGAGTAAAAATAACCGTTGGAGGACCACTTGGCTACAACTTTGAGTCCCACAAAACTACTACTTGATGAGGAGGAGTCCATGCTAATATTCTTTGACGGCGTCTGAAAGGGGATTTCGGGGGAGTCGCTGCGCCGCGTGGTAGGGGTTCCTGGGCTTGCTCTGTCACGGGCTTCTGGATGACAAGCAGTAATGCGTGTGAACGGTTCTTCATCAGGAACAGCAGCTGCAGTGGAATCCTCAGCTTGTGCATTTGAAGAGCCCACTTCCCTGGAAAGGAGATTAGCATGTACAACACATTCCACAAATAGAATTCCTGTCTGCCTCCCCTCGCAACACAGAAATGATATTGGTCAAATTAAGCCTCAGAGGACATATGCAAGGCTTATAAACAGCATAAATCTGTCTGTGCATTCTACTCGTAAGATGATGGAACGGCAATGTTTAGTCTAATTCTTAGGTGACTGCAGCAAGCCAGACTGAAAAAATACACTTGGGTGGCCATGGCCAACAAGCTGGGCTTACCCCAACAGTGAATTTCAAAGCGTTGGATGGAAAGATCTTAAATAACACCAAAATCTTCTTACCAAACAAGTTAAAGAAAAAAACAAAAACAAAAATGTTCTCAAACATATCATTTCGGTATTTCCACAATATTTGCCATCTTGCCTTGTTTATTAGACCTGATTTATCAGCTTGCAAACAATGACTGCCGTGTGATAAAATACACTTTTTAGGGAACAAATGTCACAGTTTAACCCTTCAGGTGTGCTAAAGATGTCCTACAGTCTACAGCTTGCCACCTATTAAACTCATGCATTTAGGTAGAAGGAAACATACAGACAGGTCAAAAATACTTACAACATCCAATGGACTGCTCACCTTCACAGCTGTTCATCTCAGCTAAATGGGAGCAGTAAAGTAAAATAACAGCAATGCTTTGGGAGCATACAGACCCATGTGCCCCCCCATGCCTTCCCTAAAAATGGTAAATAAAGTAGCATGCCCTGCAAATGGCTGAATAAAATAGCTGCTGCATAAGCATGGCTCCCTTCCATAAAGTATAAAGCTGTGCAGGGCAAAGGGGTCATAGGGAGCGTTATGCCCTAAAAGTATAGCTATCCGTAAAGGAAGCCTGTTGGTACCATACCTGGCCAATCACGATGGTTGGTTTTGCTGAGCAAAAGCAACAGTATAACTCACAACCCTACCAGAAATTGGCAGAATTTGTACGTTTAATCACTGTCCCGCCGCCCTATAGCAGAAATACTGCTACAGTGCGGCAGGGCTGCGCAAAATCACACACACATCACGCAAAATCACATTCCCGCCGGAGCTCGGTGATCGCTGAGTATCACTGACAAGGGTAGAGACCTGTATGTAAACAATACAGATCTCTCCCCTGCCAGCTCTTGCACATTGCTTTGTATTGCTCTGCATACAATACAAAGCAATGTGCTGACACAGTAAAGCGCACACACACAGCACACAGTAAAAACAGCACACAGTTAACCCTTTGATCGCCCCAGATGTAAACCCCTTCCTGCCCAGTGCCATTAGTACAGCGTCAGTGGTTTTTATTAGCACTGATCACTGTATTGGTGTCCCTAGGGATGTCAGCGACACCAGGTCAGTTCCCCCCAGTGTCAGAATGACCACCGCAGTCCCGCAATAAATTGCTGATCACACCGCCCGTACTAGCATAAAAATAAAAAAAAAAAAATCCCAGCATCTATACCACCATTTGTTAATGCTACAACTTTCACGTAAACCAATTCATTTGCATGTATTGGGAATTTTTTTTTCTTTTTAGCAAATACATGTAGCAAAATACATTTTGGCTAAAATTTATGACGAAATTAGATTTTTTTTTACTGGATACGTTTAATAGCAAAAAGTCCAAAATATTTTTTTTTCTTAAAATGGTCAGTCTTTTTTTTATTTATAGTGCAAAAAAATAAAACAAAAGAAAAAAAAAAACCACAGGCGATCAAATACCACCGAAAGAAAGCTCCATTTGTAGGGGAAAAAAGGGACATAAATTCCATTTGGGTGCAGCGTTGTATGACCGCGCAATTGTCAGTTAAAATTAACGTAGCGCCGTATCGTGAAAAATGCTCTGGTCAGGAAGGGGGGTAAATCCTCTGGACGGCAAGTTGTTAAACTGCTCAGAATTTATGAAAAGGTGTTGTTGGATTAAACCGTAAAATCTGACAGTTTTAGTTCTTCCTCACACTATCCCAAAAGAAAAAATTAATTTTTGGCTGTAAAAACACTTTAAAGGATAGGTTCACCTTAGGGAACGTGTTACGCGTTCCACCCATTTTTATGGTGGTACATGTGGCATGTTCCTACTGCTGCAGCCTCTCCCTCTTTAGTGACAGTGAGCCGGGGATCTTCTCCCTGCACTCACTGTCACAATTTAAAAAAAAAAAAAAAAAATGCAAATATGCTGCAACATTCATTCACAAAGTTCTGTGAATGAGAAAACTACAACTAAGGACAGCCTTTGTGGCTTTCAATGAACAACCATGGAGCTGGTGAGCGTTCTAGGCAGTTCATTGATGGTTCCTGTCTTTGTGCAACTGCCTGCCTGTACGAGGTACGAGCAGACAGCTTAATCTGACAGTCTTCAGGAGCCATGCAGTGCACCCGCGATCTGCAAAAAGATGTGAATTTATCCTTTCAGTAACATTTCAGTAAAAGCTAAAGGGTTAATAAGAAATTTAGAGACCCCTTTCTCAGGTGACATTGATACCATTTCAGTCTCTATTGCGGCAGTTTATGCACGCATGCACAAAAGAGTGACATGCAGATACTACAGGAACACAAGTAGATATCCAACTGAAAAAAGCTGGAGGTCATTTTTCAATGGTAGATGAAAGCATTCTAATCCTTTTCTTACACTATTCTCCAGCCTGCAGATGTTATGTTCCCTGATATTACCACCTTCATACCACTTAAATTCTCTTCTAAACTCAGCATACCATCAGAAAAGACACACTTTCTCTTAAAAAAAAAAAAAAAAAAAAAAAGAAGGGATAAGGATAAGGTTCAAGACAGAACCAATACAAGTCAACACAGATTTATACAAGACTTAGTGTGTCACTAAATCCAAAAGCAAAAATATAATCCAGCTTACCAATTTTTAGATGCAGTGGCTGCATTGGTTTTGTTTTTTAGGTTTAGGCTTCGTTTCCTTTATTTTCACTTGCCAATCTTGCTGGCAAGTCTTTTTGTCAACAGGGGTACTTACAATGGTCAGTTTATTTTTTTTTATCCCAAAGAAAAAGAAAAAAAAAAAAAAAACTGCACAGGGGGATGACTCCTTCACCCATCTCGCTTGTGTGGATGGGGAAATGTGTTCTTTTTTTTTTCCCATTCAGCCCATCATCTCAAAAAAAAAAAAAAAAAAAAAACACTAAGTGTGTATACACAGCTTTAAGCGTTTCCAAGGCCTAAACATTTTTTTTTTTTTTTAGGTTAAAAATGTTTAGGCACTAGTATCATCCTCTCACCCCCTGTATACCTACTGGAGTCATTACTCGAACCAGCACTGTGCCAGTCGGTATCGGTTCTCCCCACTCTGACAGGTTTTGCTCTAGCTCCCGCTGCAGTCAGTCAAATCCTGTGACAAGGGAGCAGGGGGCAGACTGAGCCATGCAGTATGTGTCTATGGATGCACACAGTCCAGCTTGGGACCAAGCCTGCACAAGTGACCCCATAGAAAGCAAACTGTAATAGGAACACACGCAGAAGAAGAGCTTCAGGGCTTGCTCTGTGCAATGCACAGGAGATTAAAAGCAAAACTCCACCCAAAATGGGAAGTTCATGTTTGCATCCACCCCCTTCATTGCCACATTTGGCACCTTTGGGGAGGAGTGGGTACCTGCTCCCACTTTCGGTCAGATTGCCACAGTGACATTTGTCACCCCTTCTCTCCCTAGAAGACCAATAAAGCGTGGTGCGGCTCGCACATGCACAGTAGAAAACCAGCTGTGAAGCCAAAAGTTCCCCTTACCCAAGATGCCAGCGCCTGCACCCGAAGCAGATTGAGGAATTGGCTCAGGTGAGGACACTGCTGGATCCCTGGATGGGCAAGTGTCTTTAGATCAAAAATCAGTAGCTACAGTATTTGTAGCTGCTGACTTAATTTTTTTTGGGAGGGAAAGGAGGAGGGGGGGAAGCTTGAGCTCCTTTTTAAGTATAAACCTGCTTGTTATTAAAAAGACAAAGTGTTTGTAAAGTGTGTTTTGTTTTTTTGTTTTTTTTATTTTATTTAATACAGTTTCTCCAGCTAATGCGACTGTCCAAGGGGTCTCCCTCACTTCTGCATAGACAGAGGAGCCATCCTTAGACAGGAAATGTGTTACTGCCTGGATCACCAGATGAAAATAAGAGGGGAAAAAAGCCTAAAACCAGAAAACTAACACAGCCATCATGACTAATGCACATTATACTTATAAGCTTTTTATTTTTTTTTCTTTTTCAAATGACAGAACATCTCAAAATTAGAAATTCGTTCATTTGAAGAACACTTTCCAACATGACCATTTTGGTTTCTGATCATGCAGTGGAAATCGATAATCGAAACAAGTAAATCAGCCACAAGATCAAATAATCATTCAGCCATTATAAATTTCAGTTGATTTTCTATCCAATCTATGGCCACCATGAGGGTTGACAAGCTGCAATATATTAATGTTTTGTTTGTGGGTTTAGATACACTATTTAGAACAAAACAACACTTTCTTCCTAACACACAAGACACCTGACTGACCCACACTGTCTGTCTATGGATACCTTGATCCAGCTCCTCGAAAAGGAGGACGTCCCCTCCTCCCTCTTCCACGGGGTGTAAGGGGCGCTTTGGCCCCTGGTCTGTTTCCAAGCGATGCATCTGCATCATCTTCACTCACTTGCACCCCTGTTTGTCTTCCAGTTTGGCGTGAAGACCCTGGCTGGCTGGACACTTTCCTAGGACTGGAAAAAATGAAGACAGTTTATCTTTACCGTACTGCAGTGATTTAGGGCTTTAGCAGCTACAGGATCCTATTTATACTATACAGTCATTTTTCTACAGAAGATCCAAACCGAACTATTATTGCTAGTTCCCAAAACGCTGTCTACTCTGCAGTCTTCCTTGGCATTTTCTTTTCTAATGCATGCCTATTAGGCCACTGAAGGCGTTTCTACTTAACCCTCACATTTATCTGATCTTCTCTTGATCTTCTTGATGGTGGAAAGATAAAAAGGGTCATATTCTACAGGATACCGATTTTCATGCTAATAAACCTCCCTGCAATGTTTACATTTTTCCTCCACCATGGTAAGAATGGAACAGATTTCCCCTGCCTTTGTTCCAGAGAGCGTAGCTGCAGAAAACCTGGCCGATCAAACATCTCTCACACACCATCAATAAATTCTATCAGTGGCCTGTGAGGGATTTGTGTAGTTTTGATATAGCTTACCTGAGTGGTGGGGGTTGTCAGACTCTGTGAGGCAGTTAAAGTGATATTAAAGCTTCATATTTTTTTTCTAAAGATTTCTAAATAACAGATATGTCATACTTACCTGATCTGTGCAATGGTTTTGCACAGAGCAGCCCTGATCCTCTTCTTCTCGGGTCCCCACTGGCGCTCCTGGCTCGTTCCTTTACAGCAGTGACCCCAATAGCAAGCCGCTTGCTATGAGGGCACTGGTGCATGCTCACTCCCGAGTCCCGCACTCTGTGTCCATAGGACACAGAGCTGTGGCTCTGCACTGTCTCCGTTCTCTCCTTGTTGGCTCACTGGCTACGATTGACATTTAGAGATACAGGAGAGCCGAGGCTTCTGTGCATAGCTGGATCGAGAGGAGGATCAGGGGTATTGTATTGGGGAGGCTGTGGAGGGAACAGCACACAGGTTTTTATCTTCATGCACAGAATGCAAGAAGGTAAAAAAAAACCCATCAGCCTTTACAACCACTTTAATAAACTTGGCCCCTGGTGTGCAATACATGCTATATCACCTTACAGATGTTTACTTAGATTTGCAAATATTGGCATTTTTGCTTTGAAACAAATAAATAAAATGACAACCTAGAATTTGCCTTCTAAGTACCTCGATTTCCCAAGGTTGCCACGTCCAGATGGCATGGCGAATTCCCCAGACTCCATATGGACAGCTTTTGCTCTCATTGTCGCCTTTCCTTTATCAGAGCTGCTACCACTAGTGCTTTGCCCTGCAGAGAGGCCGCTGCTTGCTCCACTAGATGTGCGCTGAAGGCTTGATGCTTTTGAGGAAAAGGAACTGATATCTGCAAGATCTCCAGAAGTCAGAGATGAAACCACCGTCCTTGAAGGAGACACCTCATTCTCAAATTCATGGCATTCAATTATAGGCTCCTCAGCTTCCTAGAAAAGAGAAAGTGAACAAATGTTTTCTGCCAAGTAGCTCCTTCACAGTTCTCTACATCTGTGCTGAAGTAATAATGAATCTGATAAGTAGATTTACAAAAATAAAACACATTACAGAAATACTGTATATATAAAAAGTGAATTAGTATAGTCTAATTTTAGCTTCTTCAAAGACTTCAAGTATAACTCCAAGCAAAAAAAAATTTGTTTTGTAATCTGCAGTGTAAAACAAGTTCAAGTGTTACTAAATCCAAAGCAGTAAAATCAGTCTGTATATGCAGTAAAGCATGCTGGTTATACTGTGGAGCCTAAGGGGTTAATCCTCCGCATTGTGTGAAAATGCTGTTTGATCCTGACTTCTCTGATCCTCCCCTTCTTCCACAGTCCCCAAATCACCTCCTGATAGAACAGAGTTTTGGGGGCAAGCTGCACAAATCAGTTTGGTGTGTATTGCTTAATTGGGAGAGTGCATGTGATCAGCACAGGGCCAATCAGCGCTGTCCAGTCAGAGGCCAGGGCTTCTGCATCCTCCTAGAGGGAATGAAAACTCCTCTAAGCTTTAACCTGTGCTCTGCTGAACACTGATAGATGTCACAAGACTGCTCTAACTGCTGATGAGAAAAGGTATTTAGCAGTTTAGATTTACTAAAATAATTGCATTTCCATGTTCTGTGTACTGTGGGAGACCAGATATAGTGAAGTGAATGTAGGGTCCTGGGTTTAGTAACAACAAGTCTCAAGTGAATGCTGCTTCAAGTATTTATTATTTACACATTCATTCAGGCTGGATAATGGAGCTCTTATTCTACTTCTGGCCCGCTAGTGCAATGAGATGTGTCTTTTATACACAGAAGCTGCGGTGTTGTTTGTAGGTCCTTCTTCCTTTGTCCATTCACAGAACGCTTTGTTCTTTGTGATTAATTCCAAGTATAAAAAGTGTTCTGTGAACGTGCAAGGGGAAAGGAAGGAAGAACAAAGGACGATGCGCTGTCAATGTATTAGAACAGCTATGAATTAGATTTAGAGGCCTTTTCAGAAAAGCTCCATATATTGGGCAACATGATGTATTTTACGTGCCTCATAATTCAATGTTTAGCAGCGGGTAAGCAGGACGGAGACCATTACCCACTGTAACTAAGCATTTTTTTCCCCTCAAATATCAAATGGTTGGTGTGCACTGCGGATCCACTTGACTGCTCCAGTTCCCTTGGTTACCGTTTTCATAAATATATTAGGATTTTTGGTTTACCTGTAAAATCCTCTTCTTGGAGTACATCACAGGACACAGAGAACTTCCTATTCATGACTACTTTATTTATGCTGCTGCCTTCAGGTGAACAGACAATGGCCATTAACAAAGAGGCAGGAATTTCCACCCCGGCATAACCCTTCCACCTCAGCTAAGCCGGAGTTTTGGTGATGGGAGGGATCTGCGGGACCTGTGATGTACTCAGGAAAAATAATTTTTACAGGTAAACCAAAAATCCTACATTTCTTAATTTTACACCACAGAAGAAGACGGAGGAGTTCATATTCATGACTACTTTGGATGTTCCAAAGCAATGAACAAGAGGGGTGGACAATGTAGCAACAAGGCCATTTCCTCCCAAAACAGTACAGGGGAACCCGTACTGCAAAGCCATCTGCAAGACCTTTTCAGAATCTGTTGAATCTAGGCATGCACTGATGCCAATACCAAGTATTTTCACTTATACTCATGAAAATACCTACTTTTAGACACTTTCTGGATGAAGGAACCCTAGTATGGCCCAAACAGTCTCCCTCAAAAGGGAAGCCTCCTTATTTGCTTCCTGCAGGGAAGTTCCAACGACCAACACAAGAGCAATAGGTTCCTTCTCAATGGGCAGACTTTGTGGCCACCTGTGAAAGATGCAGTATGGAATCTTCCAAGGCATCCATCGAGAAATTCAGGGGTCTCAGAAAATCTTTCAGGAATTGCCAAGATGGCAGGATCCCATGGGTGCAATTCTTTGGAACTGGTCATATAGTTCATCCAAATTTTAAGAGCTTGGCAAGTTCTCACCACAGGCTGCAAAGCCACTCACACCATAGGATACCCTAAAGAAGGCCTCTAAACTCTTACCTGTGGTGTCTAAGGAATGCGATCTCATCCATTAGGACGACAAGGATTTATTTAATTAGTCCCCATTTCTTGTTGAATTCCTCCTCCATGGAGTACTTCGGAGCAAACCTTTTTGGAGGTGAAAACACCTGCTCCGGGTGTGCCCAATTAGCAGCGCTGTAATATTCTGTAAAATGCAATATGGCTACCTGGAGGCGTACGCAGATGGTGTACAGAACGCCCAATGAAAATGTAATTTCCTGCTTGTGTGATTGGCTGATTTTCACAGAAGTTGGCACTAAGATACAAGTCAGATTTTTGGCATCCCCTGCAACAAAAAAGTAATTTTTGGGGAGATACCCCCAAAGAGAAGTCATGTGTAAAAGGGATGCAGGCGTTGCCAATTTCCTAATTAGGGCCCTGCAGGTGCAGCAGCTGATCATTCTAAAATCACCCCCACACAGATTCACTCTGCACATGGACAAGGACATATGGCTATTTCTTCAGAATAAAAAAAAGGTAGGAATCTGCAACAAAGTTTGGTAAAATCCTTGCAATGTACATAGATCACCCAGAGGGGAATGTTTTTTTTTTTCCTTAACAAAAGTGGAACTCTACCCACTTACCTCCCTTCCTGATCAGGCCATTTTTTGTGACATGGCGCTGCATTACTTTAACTGACAATTGCGTGGTCAAGCAACGCTGCACATAAATGAAATTTATATCTTTTTCCCCCACAAATATAGAGATTTATTGGTGGTATTTGATCACCTCTGTGGTTTTTTTTTTTGTGCTATAAAAACAAAGACAATTTTGAAAGAAGAAAAAAAAAAAAAAAAAAAAACGTTTAAAATTATATATATATATATATATATATATATATATATATATATATATATATATATATATATATTTTTTTTTATTATTATTATTTTTTAACTTTTTTGCTATAAAACATATCCAATAACATTTTTTAAAAAATAAAATATCTTTATAAAATTTAAGCCAAAATGTATTCCACTATGTCTTTGCTAGCAAAAAAATCCCAATATGTGTAAATTAATTGGTTTGCGTGAAAGTTATAGCGTCTACAGATGGCGGAATATATACTTGGATGTTTATTTTTATACACTAGTAACGGCGGTGATCAGCATCTTATAGCGGGACTGCGGAGGGCATTCTGACACTGGGTGGGAACTGCCACGAACATCCCCAGTGACACAGAGATCAGTGTTAATAAAAAAAAAGCACTGACACTATACTAATGACACTGGGCAGGAAGGGGTTAACATCTGGGGCAATCAAAGGGTTACCTGTGTGCATTTTACTAGGGAGACATACTGTTTTGTATCTCTCTGCTGTGCAGAGAGATACAAAACAGCATGTCCATACTGACAGGAGACCTGTGCCGTTTACAAATCGCCGGCTGGGACCCAATGATTGACATCCCTAGCCGCCAATAGCGGCGCAAGTAGGGCAGCACGCTCCCCCTACCTGGAAATGCAAATCGCGTATATATACACATGTGATTTTGCTTAGCCCGGCTGCCCTGTAGCAGTACTTCTGCTATAGGGCGGAGGGAAAAAAGTGGTCAAGGAAAAAGGATTCCTGGAGTAAATTCACCTGTAGGTGGCAGCATAACCCACATAGTCATGAATATGAAGCCCTCTGTGTCCTGCAATGTAGAATTAAAATGGAGTTCCACCCATTTTTTAAAGTGCATCTCTGTACATTGTACCTGTGTTGTAAAGCACGATTTAGATAACTTTTAACTTTTTTTTTTTTCGTATTATAAATACCTTTAAATCCATTTTTTAGGACTGCAGTTCTGGTCCTGGCCGCCTAGGCGATGACATTGTAAGGCGAATCGCAAGGTCTCCTGGGATGTTGTGTCCTGTATCCCAGGAGTCCTTTGGGTTCCTAGTGACTTAATATCGCGGTACTTCAAAACCAGAAATAACGTGAATGGGAGGAGTTTGGCACCATTTTACCAGAGTCCTGTGTGTGGAAGACGTATACGCCGTGTGCTGCGGACAGCGCTGTCCTCTGTTAGCTGGATTTGCAGAGTGTGTCTGTACTGCGCAGGCCTGAGATCGAGTGGTGCATGCTGGGATAGCCAACAGCACCAATTCCAGGAAGACCTGCGGGCTCCAGATGCCCACAGCCATCATGGCACCTGCCTGCTGCCGAGATCCAGGTAAAGTTTAACTTATTTGAAAGTAATTACAAGGCTATTACTAATAACTTTATCCAATTAATAATGCTAATGGAAAGGAAATCCTGGGTCCGCTTTTAAAAAAAAAAATTATTCTGGGAGTTGGAGCTCTGCTTTAAGAAACAAAGTGTACAAATGCTTATGGATTAGTAACAAAAGCCAATGTTTTATACAAGTGTGGTTTGATTAGACACTCCTCTTATAAACTAGGAAAGTTCTAATAGAATCATTTTTTTACCGCTTTTAAAACAAGTAAAAAAATTTAAAAAATTACCTCTACAACTTTGCGTTCCACCTCTGTTCCATCCATGTAATAGACATCTGTGATGATTCGGGTGACCACAGTGCGAACTTCGCGAATTGTACGCACATGGCGATGAAGGCTACGCCCAGGAGGAGGCCGAGGCAATTCAAAGTCTTCCTCACCCTTAAAATTACAGAATATACACTTTAAAATGCTACAGACACACAGTTTTGAAAGCAGACCTTTTATAAGAGAAATCTGGAACTGCAGTTGCTCCCCTTCTGAAATTTCTAGTGGCTTGTGTCAGGAATCCTTATCTCTCTCTGTTTTCTAAATGAATTACTCTGGATGTACTGAAGTCAAAGCATTGAATGGACAGGCAGGAAACTAGATTTTTGAGGAAAGGTCAGCAATAGCAGCCTTCAGATTTATCTGATGATCAGTGTACTTTTAGCATATTACTTGGTTCTCATTTTTCACAAACAGGCAAGTTGAGATTTGCCCAGTGCCCAAAGGCAGTCCTATTGGTTCCTCAAGCATGACTGTAGACACCTGGAAAGGGATGACCCAAGGTCTGATTGGATGTGTACTTCCTCATAACATTCGGTACATTTGAAGTTTTCTGAATAATTGTACCACCACTATAAGCTTCTGCAGCTATTTTTCTGTACTTTTCCACCATCACCTGAATATTTGGATAGATCCCTCAGCCCATGAGAGATCTAGCATAAACCACTTCTCACTCCAAAATGGCCACTGCAGCCCACAGACGTGGAACCATGACTCCCAAGATTTAAAGCATCCTGCTCTGGCTTTAGCCTGGTAACAGTCTATAAAGTGAGCATAATGTACCGTAGAGAAGAAGCTCTCTTTAGGGCAGGCCTTGAAATTTCCACTGGCCTGCTCGCCAATGGCGAGTAGAAATTATGGTGGGGGTAAGTGTGCCCCCCAGGGCCATCTTACTGAGCAGGCTCGGAGCACAGGCCGGATCTGTCATTGGCACTAGGAGCCGTCAGATTGCTCAATATCGGAGCGCAGTGAAAGCGAAGGAAGGAGTGTGTGCTGTGCTCTCTGCCTCCCCCTAGAGTGCAGTACCCGGCTCTGCGAGTGAACAACAAAGTACTGCAACTTTTTATAGGTGTGTGTGTGTGTGTGCGCCTAATTTCAGCTCACTCTGATCACATGATCCTCTACGTCAGCCAGTGGTGGCTTCAGGGGAAAGGAGAGAGCACTTAACAGCGTGTGTGTGTACCTATGTACATGTGTGTATCTGCACAGGTGTTTGCGTGTATGTACATGTGTGTATCTGCACAGGTGTTTGCGTGTATGTACATGTGTGTATCTGCACAGGTGTTTGCGTGTATGTACATGTGTGTATCTGCACAGGTGTTTGCGTGTATGTACATGTGTGTGTGCATATACATGTGTCTGTGTGTATACACGTATGTACGTACATGTGTCTGTGTGTATACACGTATGTACGTACATGTGTCTGTGTGTATACACGTATGTACGTACGTTTCTGTGTGTATACACGTATGTACGTACATGTGTGTGTATACGCGTGTGTGTACATGTGTCTGTATGTGCGTGTGTGTACATGTGTCTGTATGTGCGTGTGTGTACATGTGTCTGTATGTGCGTGTGTGTACATGTGTCTGTATGTGCGTGTGTGTACATGTGTCTCTGTGCGTGTGTGTACATGTGTCTCTGTGCGTGTGTGTACATGTGTCTCTGTGCGTGTGTGTACATGTGTCTCTGTGCGTGTGTGTACATGTGTCTCTGTGCGTGTGTGTACATGTGTCTCTGTGCGTGTGTGTACATGTGTCTCTGTGCGTGTGTGTACATGTGTCTCTGTGCGTGTGTGTACATGTGTCTCTGTGCGTGTGTGTACATGTGTCTCTGTGCGTGTGTGTACATGTGTCTCTGTGCGTGTGTGTTTGTTGGTGGCGAGTAACTCTTAAGGCCTGGCTAGTAGCTCAGGACTTGAAATTTTAAGCCCTGCTTTAGGGGATACTCTAGGATTCACCTTGCTCTCGCGTCACATGCTAACCACCCAAACTGAGGATTTGTAAGATCAGTGGTTCTTGTCTCAAGCTTTCAGAAAATTATTTCATGAAGAAATTCCTAATGATGAAAATTGAGGATCCGCACCCTCCTCTCCAAACTTTTCTAAGAATCTGTTCTCTTAACTATTTTAAAGCTTTCAGTCGGAGAAAATATAACTGACCACAAAATGGGAAAGTAATTTAATTTAATCAACCTAGCGTACCTGCTATTCACAAAATGAAAGAAATTTGTCCAGGACTGTCTATGAGTACAAATGTCTAATAGAAGGATTTGCTGTACCAGCCAAAACAGGCTTCAGGTCACAATTTTCTTACATCTACTCCACGAGGCTCCATTCAGTTTACATGTGCTATAAAAATAAACACACTCTTGTTCAAACTATCTTATTCAAATAAAATAAGAGCAATATTAGAACTTTTGGGATGAAATTTGTGTTCTATTACTGATTCTTACATCACCAAATATGGCTACTTTTCCTGTTTGCCATTATCTAAATCAGCTACTTGAGAAAAAACAGCAACATTGATCAAGAATGCAAGAAAAAACAAACTGGAGGGCAAGTGGTTAAAAACTTTGAGCCTTTACAAATAGAGGATTTACCCCCCTTCCTGACCAGGCCATTTTTTGCGCTTCAGCGCTGCGTTACTTTAACTGACAATTGCGCAGTCATACAACGCTGCAGCCAAATTAAATTTATGTACTTTTTTCCCACAAATTGAGCTTTCTTTTGGTGGTATTTGATCGCCTGTGCGATTTTTATTTTTTACGCTATAAAACACAAAAAAAGACAATTTTGAGTAAAAAAAAATATTTTGTACTTTTTGCTATTAAACATGTCCAGTAAAAAAGTTTTTAAAAAAATCAAATTTTGTCATAAATATAGGCCAAAAATGTATTCTGCTACATGTCTTTCCAAAAAAAAAAAAAAAAAAAATCCCAATACAGTTAGGGCCATATATATTTGGACACAGGCACAATTTTAAATGTTTTCAGGTATTTGCCAACACATATTCAAGCTATAGTTATATAATGGATATGGGTTGAAGGTGCACACTCTCAGATTTAATTTGAGGGTATGTACATCCAAATTGGAGGAAGGGTTTAGGAATTACAGCTCTTAAGAGTAGCCATCTCCCCTTTTTCAAGGGACCAAAGGTAATTGGGCAATTGAATCAAAAGCGGTTTCATGGCCGGATGTGGGCTACTCCTTTGTTATTTCTTCATAAATTGCAGTAAGCAAGTAAAAGGTCTGGAGATGATTCTAAGTATGCTATTTGCATTTGGAATCTATTGCTGTGAACATACATCATGCGTTCTAAGGAACTGTCCATGCAATTGAAACAGGCCATTGTAAGGCTTCAAAAATGAAACAAATCCATCAGAGAGATAGCAGCAACTTTAGGAGTGGCCAAATCAACAGTTTGGTACATTCTGAGGAAAGAAGAACGCACTGGTGAGCTCAGCAACATAAAAAAGGCATGGACGTCCACAGAAGACAACCGAGGTGGATGATCACAGGATCCTCTCTATGGTAAAGAACAACCCATTCACAACATCCAGACAAGCGAAGGACACTCTCCAGGATGTGGGTGTATCATTGTCAAAGTCTACAATCAAGAGAAGACTTCACGAGAGCAAATACAGAGGGTTCACCACAAGGTGCAAACCATTCAAAAGCCTTAAGAATAGAAAAGCCAGATTAGACTTTGCCAAAAAACATCTAAAAAAGCCAGACGAGTTCTGGAAAAGCATTTTTTGGACGAATGAAACTAAGATTACTGCGTACCAGAATGACGGGAAGAAAAAAGTGTGGAGAAGGCTTGGAACAGCTCATGATCCAAAGCACACAATGTCATCTGTAAAACATGGTGGAGGCAGTGTGATGGCATGGGCATGCATGGCTTCCAGGGGCACTGGGTCATCGGTGTTTATTGATGATGTGACAGACGACAAAAGCATCCGGATGAATTCTGCAGTGTTCATAGATATGCTGCCAGCACAGATTCACCCAAATTCAGCAAAGTTGATTGGATGGTGCTTCACAGTACAGATGGACAATGATCTAAAACACACAGCAAAAAGCAACCCAGGAGCTTTTGAAGGAAAAAAAGTGGAATATTCTGGCAATGGCCAAGTCAAATCACCTGATCTCAACCCAACTGAGCATGGATTTCTCTTGCTGAAGGCAAAACAGAGGCATAAAGTCCCACAAACAAAGAACTGAAGGCTGCTGCAGTTAGAGCCTGGCAAATCACCAGAAAAGAGGAAACCCAGTCTTTGGTAAAGTCCATGGGTTCCAGACTTCAGGGAGTCATTGCCAGTAAAGGATTCTCAATATAATCATAAATAAAATGTTCATTTTTAATATTTTGTTAATTTGTCCAATTACTTTTGGTCTGTTGAAAAAGGGGGGATGGCTACTCTTAAGAGCTGTAATTCCTAAACCCTTCCTCCAATGTGGATGTACATACCCTCAAATTAAACCTGAGAGTGCGCACTTTCAGCCCATATCCATTATATAACTATAGTTTGAATATGTTTTGGTAAATACCTGAAAAAAACTAAAAAAAAAAACTAAAAATTGTGCCTGTGTCCAAATATATATGGACCTAACTGTATGTGTAAATTAATTGCTTTATGTGAAAGTTATAGCGTCTACAAATGGTGGTATAGATAATGGGATTTTTTTCTTCTTCTACTAGTAATGGCGGCGATCAGTGACTTTTAGCAGGACTGCGGTGGACATTCTGATACTGGGGGGAACTAACTTGGTGTCACTGTAATCCCAATGACACCAATACAGTGGTCAGTGCTAATAAAAAGCACTAACACTGTACTAATGGCACTGGGCAGGAAGGGGTTTGTAAACAAAACAATCTTCCTCCCTGTCGGAGATGTTTGGTAATCACCGGGTGCCGGCGGGCAATTACCGGCCAGGACCCGGTGACTGACATCCGCGGCCACGAATGGCGGCACAGGTAGGGATCACACACGCCCCCTACCTGGAGATGCAAAATCGTGTGTATATACACACACACGTGATTCTGCACACAGGTGCCGCCCTGTAGCAGTATATCGGCTATAGGGCGGTCCTTAAGCGTTAATTCCTTTATGCATTCTATTCAAAAAACCTTCTGTGTGCATCAGCCCCCCCAATACTTACCAAAGCCCCCTTTTGATCAAAGGATATGCACAAGAGCAACACCTCTCCGGGGACCCTTCTTCATCATTGGCTGAGACAGCAGCAGGAGCCATTGGCTCCTGGAACTGTCAATCACAGCCAGTGAGTCAATGAGGAGAGTGTGGGGGCAGGCCGAGATAGTGTGTGAATGGATACACAGAGCAGCAGCTCGGGAGCGAGTTTGCTCAGGTGCGCCTATAGCAAGCTGCTTTCTATAGGGGCACTCGGCAGGAGCCAGAAGCACTGGAGGGGACCTGAGAAGAGGAGGGTCGGGTTGTGCAAAACCATTACACAGAGCAGGCAAGTATAACAGGTTAGTTATTTAAAAATAAAATCTGCCTTTAATATTTCTTTAAAAAGAGAGAAAAGATTAGCTTGCCCACTACCTGCCCTGACCTTGCAATGGTCTACTGCAGGGGGTCTCCAAACTTTCTAAACAAAGGGCCAGTTTACTGCCCTTCAGACCTTAGGCGGGCTGAACTGTGGCTAGCTGGAATAGAAATTTTCTTGGCAGTGGGAGTAATTTGTGCCCCATCTTTGGTATTAGGGGGAGGAATGATACCCCATCATTGGTATCAGTAGGAGGAATAGTGCCACATTGTTTGTGTAAGTGGGAGGAATCGAGCCTCATTGTTTATGTCAATGGCAGGAATTATGCCCTACTGTTGGTTTCAGTGGGCAAAATAATGTTTGGACCAGTGGGATGAATAGTGTGAGATAAAGGCAGGCAAAGAACCGCATCTTGCCCCTCGGGTCGCAGTTTGGAGACCACTGGTCTACTGGATTACTATTGCCCGCTACCTGCCTGTCCTGACCTTGGACTATCCCAGAATTCTGCTACCAGTTGTTGTCTTCTGCCTGCTCAGCCTTGAGACTGCAGGTACCCTTCCTTGTCTCAGTTCAGTCCAGTGCCCTATGGCTAAGAAATACATGTTTCAAGACCTGGGGGCAACTAGATACAGGTAGGCTTGTCTGCCACTCACCAGCTATAGTTCCTGACATAGACATTGTCTGTTTATCACAATGTGCATTTACATACAAATATTAAGCTGACAGGATAGCAGCCATTTCGGAAAGTCTACTATTATGCTTTGAAGTACAATATACAAATTTACATTTATTCACCTACCTGACTGTGTACAGATTCAGTGTCATCTCCAAGCCCCTGTTTTGCATTTTCAGGTTTTCCCGCATCTTGTTCAGTCTGTTTGACATCTTTTCCTATTGTCATACCAGCAGTGGTTGTTACCGGTGGACTAGACAAGGTGTCAGTCTGGGTGAAGGAGGACACTGCAAATGCATTAGGATCTACTGTACTGACTGTTTGGACTTCCTTATTTGTATGCCCCAAAGAAGTTTGTTCATTTACATTCAACTCCTGCGAAGCAGAAGCTATATTTTGACTGTTCTTTGGAACTTCTCTCTGGACATGTTGTTCACCTTCCTCCACGCTATGCTCAGTTTCCATGGCTTCCTCCTGATCACATGATAAGTCCTGGATAGAATATTCCTTGGTGGTCTGGTGATCCCGGTCTTGCTCACGCATTTCTTTTATATGTTGCGAAGCCACAGATGCTCCATCCTTGTCTTTGCTGGAAAAGTGGAAAGGACTTCCTCTGAAATGACCACACAAAACAGCACTTACCTCACTGTACAAATACAGTCTTAGGAAGCCATAATACATGTAGTATATACAGGCAATGCATGTTTGCATTGTGTTTTATAAAGAGCTGCATATGATATCCCAACCTCCCAGCATCAGCTTGACAACCCCCAACAAACCTACACCCTATGTAATACAACATCAAATAATTATTTGATTCCCTGCAGATTTTGTAACTTTGCCCAGAAATTAAGGGTCTAGAATTTTTATAATAGGTGTAATTTAAATGAAAGACAGAACACCAACCGAAAAAGAAAGAAGGAAAAAGACATGATACAAATGTTAAAAATTGAGTTGCAGTTCAGTGAGTAAAATAGGTATTTGATCCCATCAATAACCATTAATCAACCCAAAATTGACATGTACCCACTCCCGCTTCTGCTGCAATCGCAAATGGACGTGGACGTTGTGTCCCTCCCCCATAGTCTTCTGGGAAACTTGACAGGTCCCAGAGGAACACGGGACCATTCACAAGGCACAGCGCTACTCGCTCATGTGCAGTGGGCACCCGGCTGTGAAGCCGCAAACTGTCACAGCCAGGTGCCCACACTGAGGATGCCAGCACTGAGAACACAGGGTGGCCAGTAAAACTGGCTGTGGGGGGGGGGGACACACACCAGGGGATTGAGGGACAGGTAAGTGTCCATTTTTTATAAGTCAGCAGCTACAGTCTTTGTAGCTGCTGACTTTGTTTTTTTCCCTCACTGGAACTCCGCTTTACGTGTTAAAACAGCAGCAACATCTCCAAAGAAAACCAAGCTTAAATTGGCTCTCTTGTCTATCAGAAGGTTAGATCCCATAAGGGAAGAGAACGTTATAGGCTAGCTATAAGTAGGGCCTAGAAGAAGAAATCTACTGTATCCATAAAGAACGATAATTGAAGTGTATTAGGAGAAACTACCCAAAAAAAAAAAAAAAAAAAAAAAGTACAGTGCTGTGAAAACATTTGTCCCCTTCATGAATTTTATTTATTTTGCATATTTGTTAGACTTAAACTAAGATCAAACAAATTTTAATATTACACACAGATTACCTGAACATATGCAAAATGCAGTTTTTAAATGATAAATTTCATTTAAGAGAAAAAAAAAAGCTGTCCAAACCTGCTTGGCCCTATGTAAAGTAATTGCTCACTAAACCTTATAACTGGTTGTGCCACCCTTGGCGGCAACATCTGCAATCAATCTGGACTTTGACTAGGCCTCGCCTAAACCTTAATTTTGTTGTTTTTTTTTAGCCAATCAGAGGTGAATTTGCTGGTGTTTCTCGGATCATTGTCCTGCTGCATAATCTAAGTGCGCTTGAAGGTCACGAACTGATGGCTGGACATTCTCCTGGTGGAGCGCAGAATTCATGGTTCCATCAAGTATGGCAAGTCGTCCAGATCCTGAAGATGCAAAGCAGCCCCAGACCATCACACTACCACCGCCATGTTTGACTGTTGAAATGATGTTCTTTTTAAGAAATGCTGTATAACTTTTACACCAAAAAGTTACATTTTTGTCTCATCAGTCCACAGAATATTTGCACAAAAGTCTTTGGGATTCTTGTGTTCTTTTTGGTCAGCAGTGGCTTTTGCCTTGGAACTTTTTTTGCCCGGTCTCTTATTGTTGAATGATGAACACTGACCTTAACTGAGGCAAGTGAGGCCTGCAGTTCTTTAGATGTTGTTCTGGGTTCTTTTAGAAAGTCCTGGATGAGTCTTCGTTGTGCTCTTGGTGTAATTTTGGTAGGCCGGCCACTCCTGTGGGAAGGTTCACCACTGTTCCAAGTGTTCTCCATTTGAGGATAATGGCTCTCACCGTAGTTTGCTGGAGTCCCAAAGGCTTTGTAACCTTTTCCAGACTGATACACGTCATTTACTTTGTTTCTCACCTGTTCTTGAATTTCTTTAGATCGCAGCAGGATGTGTGGCCTTTCTTGAGATCTTTTAGCATGCTTCACTTTGTGAGACAGCTTCTTTTTAAGTATTTTCTTGATTCCACAGGTCTGGCAGTAATCAGGCCTGGGTGTGGCAAGTGAAATATGTAACACAGCTTTGCAAAAAATGTGGTTAATCACAGTTCATTCAGGATTTAGCAAGAAGACAATTACTTTTTCACATACCAGGCAGGTTCGGACAGCTTTTTTCCCCTTAAGTGAAATCATCATTTAAAAACTGCATTTTGTATTTATTCGGGTTATCTTTGTGTAATTTAAAAATTTGTTTGATGATCTTAATCATTTAAGTGCGTCTAACAAGTAAACAAAATAGAAAAAAAAATGAGGAAGGGGACAAATACTTTTTCACAGAACTGTGTAGTAGTAAAGTATATAAGAAAAAAAAATTACAAAGGCTGCAACGAAATTTAAGACAAACAATGGTCTCATGCAAGAAGACAGATTTAAAGCTAAGGCATACTGAAATACAGATATCACTAAAGCAAGAATAGTTGACAAACTCATTTCTGTAAAACAAAAAAAAAAAATATAAGGTATCAACCCTCACCTAACAGGAGTTGTAGGCACAATGTGACCTCTGCTCTCCTCTTCTCGATGGACTTCACACACGCGTACAAACACAGAAGGGGAATTCTCTGTGCTGAGGTGAAAAACAAACAGAAAAACTCAATGATGTCAATGGTGTGATTAATATCAAGTTAAAACAGAACAAAGACCCTCCAAGGTCACTGGTTACGGTTTCCATAGTAAAAATAAAAGATCCTCTCTCCTATTTGGGGCTTGGTATTGGTCTGGTTTGTGTTTACAGCAAACTGTTTTCATCATCAGAATTAATATGTTCTAAGCTGAAGCTACCCAGCTCAATATTTCTGTAGATGGATTATCATATCATTATTGTATATCATTTCTTAAAGCCAAACGCCAGGCATAAAGAACAAAAACAATACAGTGAATTTAATAAAAATAGTTACATGAGGTTATAAATGCAGCGAATAAAAGTACCGTATTTGCCGGCGTATAAGACGACTTTTCAACCCCTGAAAATCTTTTGAAAAGTCGGGGGTCGTCTTATACGCCGGTATACGGCGAGCCGGTGTCAGGGCGGCACTATTTCGAGGGGCGTCGCCGCCCCCCCTCCTCCTCCGACGGGCACCAAGTACAGGGGTGGGCAGAGGGGCTGCTGTACCTTACCTGGCTCCGGTCCCGGTCCCACGACGATCCGGTCCAGGAAGCGCGGCTGCTCCTTCTTTCAGTTCGGACCGCTCGATGGTCGCGCGGGCCGCTCGGCTCCGCCTCCTCACCGGTGATTGGGCGCCAGCACTGGAAAGGCACACAGGCAACCAATCACCGGTGAGGAGGCGGAGCCAAACGGCCCCGCGAAAATCAAGCGGCCGAACTGAAAGAAGGAGCAGCCGCTCCTCTCCCCCACTGACACTAACGATAGGGCACTATTCCTCCTCCCCACTGACACCAACGATGAGGCACTGTTCCTCCCCGACTGACACCAACGATGAGGCACTGTTCCTCCCCGACTGACACCAACGATGGGGCACTATTCCTCCCCCACTGACACCAATGATGGGGCATTATTCCTCCCCCACCGACACCAATGATGGGGCATGATTCCTCCCCCCACTGACACCAACGATGGGGCACTATTCCTCCCCCCACTGACACCAACGATGGGGCACTATTCCTCCTCCCCACTGATACCATTGATGGGGCACTAGTCCTCCTCCCCACTGACACCAACGATGGGGCACTATTCCTAGTGCCCCATCATTGGTATCAGTGGGAGGAATAGTGCCCCATCATTGGTGTCAGTGGATAAAATAGTGCCCCATCATTAGTGTCAGTGGGAGGAATAGTGCCCCATCATTGGTGTCAGTGGGAGGAATAGTGCCTCATCATTGGTGTCAGTGGGAGGAATCATGCCCCATCATTGGTGTCAGTGGGAGGAATAGCACCCCATCATTGGAATACCATACTGAAATACCATACCATATTGGTATGATGTTTTTTCATTTTTATTTGGTGTGTGTTGGAAGAGGGGTAGTCTTATACGGCGAGTATAGCTCAAACCCTATATTTTAGCAGGAAAAGTAGGGGGTCGTCTTATACGCCCAGTCGTCTTATACGCTGGCAAATACGGTATCTCAAATTAACTTGGTATCGCCTTTTTATAATCCCTGTTCTTTTGTTTTTTATTACACCATTTTGCCTTTTCTTTTTTCAACACACTGTGACCAAAGCAATACAATGTTACCATAGTAACGCTGATCTACTTTGGGTGGGCAAGTGATCAGGATTTTTTTTTTTTTTTTTTTTTTTTTTTTTTTACACACATTATGATTGCTAATACCAATGTATTTAATTGATATTTGCAATCATTGTTACTGACACAACTTCAGTCTTTTGTGATTACCTGTGATTGGGCAAAGCTCATCATATGACACAGATGGGCTGTGATTAGCCCCGTCTAAACCATGTGCCTGCTTTGACCAATCACAGCTAACAACACAATTGTATATAATGAATGGCATGACATGAAGCCATTCATTGTATACAATTGACATGTGATCTGCTGTGATTGGTCACAATGGTCACATGACACTGGCAACGGGCTGGTGTAGTGATAGGTCATCGGCTGTGTCCTGTGGACACAGCCAGTGACAGATCGCGCAGCTACACGGCCCCATGAGCGGCTCCATTTTACCAGACGTTATATGACACCCCCAGTCACAAGGAGGAGTGCCCCGCCCAGCCATCAATCTGCTATAGGCTGGGCGGGAAGGTGTTAACACAACACAGCGCACCTAACACAACACAGCGCCCCCTAACACAACACAGCGCCCCTTTTAATGCAATCCTTTCCCTATGGTACCTTAGGCAGAGCAGAGGCACTAATCCTTCTGGGGTGTCCTCTCCTGGGCCTTCAGCCTGCCACTGATGTCATCCTCATAGCTGGCGGGGGTGGGAGGAGCTGCAGATAGGGACTGAGGGGCGGGAGCTGCCCAAGTTATTATGTTAACAAGTGGGCGATTTCCTGGCTTGCCAATATGAAAAGACTCACGCTTTCTGTCTCGAGCTGCAGAGAGTCTTTACATATTGATAAGCTGGGTAATCACCAGCTCCCGCGCCCCTCAGTCCCAATCTGCAGCTCCTCACACCCCGCCCACTGCGAGGAAGACATCGATGGCTGAGTGAGAGGCCCGGAAGAGGATACCCAGCCATGGCAGTGGCAGGGCTGCAGTACGGACAGGACTGTTCCTTGGTCCGGTTCCGGACCGTGGTCCGCCATTTAATGACCACTGCTTTACAGGCTCCCAATTAAAAAATAAATAAATAAAAATGCACGTTTTTTCTTTTTTACCACACAAAAGATGTGCATTTATTATTTCTTTTGAAAAGGTGAACGTATCCTTTAAGTATTGACAAAACCTGGATTGGTTTCTATGCAGAGCTGCGCCAGACTTTGCACTCTCCTTTGTCAATCAACCCCAAAGTTGTTTTATTTATTGAAAAACCCCAAGCTGTGGCATTAAACCATGTTATGCATTTAGCAAAAAAGCAAAAAAACAAAAAACACAAAAACAAAACCACATACTCAAGGCAGTGCATACTGTATATTGCTTGGTAAACTGGCCATGTCCATGTAGAAGCCCAGTACATGGGGGTCTTCCCTCTTATCTCAAGAATGCAATTTACATTAAAACCTCAAAGAAAACACATTTCTGCTTTTACCATTTGTCTATTGTATTCATTTATACATGACGTTTGGCTCTAACAGGCTTCTGGTCTAACTGCTTTACACAGCAACAAGGATGTGTTACCTGGCAACATCTCCAGCAACAGCAGCTGTTCCATTAGTCCTCTCAGCAGCAGCAGGTTCTGAATATGCAAATGTAAATGAACATCATAAAGCAAGTTAATAGGAAATATAGACAATGGTAATATTAACCTAATACCCACATTTTCATGAAAATGTTTAAAATACACTTCAAAAAATGACTGTCACATGTGCTGCAGGACAAACTGTAGAAATACAAGAAACACCTTTCACTATTAAATTCATGTTGGCATTACGGATAAATCAGTCATGGAAAATCTGTGTTCTAGTCTTCCTAAAAATAACAGAGGATACATTCAGTGAAAGCTGCATAAAAAAAGAAAAAAAAAAATTATAGATAGAATATAAAATTCCTACACCAGGCATTAGGTAAAGTTAAAGGATAAGTTCACCTTTGGGGACATGTTACATGTTCCACCCGTTTTTAATCGCAGCAGCTGCCCCCCTCCCTCAGACAGATAATATGGGGAGACTTTTCCCCGTAGTGTCTGTCAAATTTGAAAACCGCAGCCTACACAGCCGCATCATTAATTAACAGACTTCTGCCTTAGCAGCTGTCAGCTTGTAGTTTTCAATGAACTACCACGGAACTGTGGAGCATGGCGATAGTTCATTGAAGCTTCCTGTCAGTATATATGCTTGACCGGACATCCCGTATGGCAAGCAAATATTCTGACAGGTCTGCAGGAGATCTGCATGACATCCGCAATCTACTGATCACTCGTGCATTGTTTTCAAGGTTCCTGTAGACAAAAATAATAAATGCACATTTTTAACCTGCAAAAAATGTGCATTTACTTGTTTTGTCTAAAAGGTGAACTTATCCTTTAAGTGATTGTAAAGTAATGTTTAAAAGGTGAACTTATCCTTTAAGTGATTGTAAAGTAATGTTTTTTTTTCTGAATAACAAACATGTCATACTTACTTACCTGCTCTATGCAATGGTTTTGCATCCTCCTTCTGGGGTCCCTGCCAGCGCTCTCGGCTCCTTCCTCCTGCCGAGTGCCCACCATAGCAAGCCACTTGCTATGGGTACACTCTTGCAGGCTCTGTGTGTCCACTGACACACACAGTGTGGCTCCCCCCCCCCCCCCCACTTTCTCCTCAAAGGCTGGGATTGAGCCAATAGTTCGCTCTGCTGCCTCCATGACTTGTGCAGAGAGCAAAGCAGGTATTAGGGCTGGGGGGGGGGGGGGGGGGGGTACAGTTGCTGTACAGATCACACTCAGGAGGTCTCATTTCTTGCTCGTGTGATTGACTCACTGATTTTCTCAGCACTCTGAACTAAGATTTAAGTAACATTTTAGGCATAGTCTGCAATAGCAGTTTCATTTTTAGTGGGATACTTTTTAAAGGTTTGATTACTTCTAAAGGGTTGCAGACAGTGCAACTTTTCTCATGAGAACACTGAAAATGGGTATAATGTAGCCAACCATTCAGAAACATATTAGAACAAAAAGGTAGGACTCGGCTATAAAGTTTGTTAAAATTCTTGCCATGTACAATGAGCAAAGTGACTGCTCTTTGGAGTTACACTTTAAAACAACCCTGTCTCTAGAACCAAGGAATTAAGGCTGAATGTCAGTTTTTTTTCTGCATAGTTCCATCAGTCTAGTGTGTACTAAAGTATACACATTCCATACTTGACTGATCTCTGTGAATGGAAAAAATCATTGTATTAGCCACCACTACAGTGAGGCTTGCCATTTTCCAGGTCCGAGCAACTACCCTGCTGCACAGTAATCACGGGGGGGGGTCACCACCTGCCTCTTCACTGATCCAATCAGAAAGCACTACGAGAAATGTAAAGCATTCGTTGAAGGGCCCCTGTGCCTCACAACCCCCTATGTTCACTAGAGCAGAGCAGCCACACTCGGCACAGGACTCAGGAGACTAGGATCACTATAGTACTGGCTGCTGCTACAGTCAGCCATTCTTGGCTTTCACAGGTATTGGCCAGGTATGGAATATGCATATTTACGTTGGACCAAAGTAAATATGTCAAAACACCTTACCTTGAATTCAGCCTTCAACAGGAATCCAAGAATTGCATCTGCAGGATGCTAAATCCCCGTGCTGTGTGTGGTGGTATCTACCTGCTGGCAGCTATTTAACCACTTCCAGTCCAGACACTTTTACCCCCTTCCTGTCCAGGCCAATTTTCAGCTTTCAGCACTATCACACTTTGAATGACAATTGTGCGGTCATGCAACACTGTACCCATATGAATTTTTTACCATTTTTTTGAGACAGATAAAACTTTAGTTTGGTGGTATTTATTCATCGCTGGGATTTTTATTTTTTTTGCTATGTAAACGAAAATGTACAAAAATTTGGAAAGAGTTTTTCTTAAAGTTTGCAAATAAATATTTCATCATAAATCTTGGCCAAAATGTATTCCGTTATCTTTTTAGTGAAAAAAAAAAATAAGCCAAATTAGTTTATAACCAAAAATTATAATTTTTAAACTTTTTTTACATTTTTATATTTATTTAATTTTTTTTTTTTTTTTACATACTGTCACCCTAGCAGTACAGTGTCACCATGGTGACACTACTACTTTTGGGGGGTGATGAAGATTTTTTTTTTTACACTGATTGCTTTTACACCCATATAGGATGTAAAAGCAATCATTTCTCTCTCTCTCTCTCTGCATTCTTGCAGCCATTGAGAACTACTGAGTGAGCTGTGATTGGTCACAGCTTGTCACATGGTACAAGGCTGTTGTGAATAGCCTTGTACCATATGACCTCTGATCACAGATTTCACACGTAGTAAGCAATGATGTCAGAAGTGACATCTTGCTTACTACTTTGCATGTGATCACTGATTGGCCAATCAGTGATCACATGATCGGGACCTTATACAGAGGTCCCGTCCAACGATCGGTGTTTCACTGTGTCCGGAGGACACAGCGGGCACCAGATCGCGGTGCACGCGCTCCCAGGGAGCGCGCACAAGCAGGGTGCGGGGAGGTCGTTTATAAACGGCCACCCGACCCTGCAGTGCCACCGTCCGGCCGTTTATATACAACTGCCAGTCTGGAAGTGGTTAAATATGGTGTTTAATCATAGTGAGCAATGAGGGGTGAGGCATCTGATGCACCTGGATGTGTGGGCACCACGAGTGGCCATAGCTGTGCAAGAGAGTGAAGATTAACGTTGCAGCCCACTGGGCAACCATTACTCATCTTCCTTTGCAAATTCTTTTGAGTAGAATGACTGGATCACTACATGCAGCTATCCATTTTCCTGTAAAATCAGTTTTATTTATCCATTCCACCCTTCCGAGCCTACATACTGCTCACCAATATACATTGATAATATTAAAAGATCAAAGAGACTGTTCAAGGAGTGGGAGTAGGAGGGCGAGCATGACTTGAACAGTTAGGCCTCGTTCACAATATACATGCAGAAAAACTGATGGAAACTGATGTGCAGATTTCACTTGCAGAGACACAAGTTTCCATCAGTTTACATGCTTGTTTCAATGAGTTATTTATTACAGTGAATTATATAGTCAATTTATGCAGTAGTTTACTATATATATATATATATATATATATATATATATATATATATATCATATATATCATATATACGCACACACACATATATATAGAACTTTAAAATCAGTCCCTCGAGCAGCGTACAATCTAAGGTCCCTAACTCACATTCATACATACACATATTAGGGCCAATTTAGACAGGATCCAATTAACCTACCAGTATGTCTTTGGAGTGTGGGAGGAAACCGATGTACCCAGAGAAAACCTACACAGGTACAGGGAGAACATGCAAACTCCAGGCAGGTGGTGCCATGGCTGAGATTCAAACCAACAACTCTAGTTCTGCCAGATGGAAGTGAGTTTAGCCACTGTGCACGTTGCAGATTCCTGCACAGAGTCTGCACATACTATAGTTGTGGTGTGAACAGGGCACATAGAGAACAATTTATTTCATTGTGCCGTGCAGAAAAACTCATGTCTCTGCACCATGGTGTGAACAAGGCCTCAAACGTTTACAAACATTATGACTACTGCCTATATTTCTACATTTACTGATCATTTAGATATACGGTTTTCGTTAATGACAACCTGTCTTTATGACTTTTAATCATATACCCAGTTTGAAGTGCTCAGGTTTGTAAGAGGTCTACTTCAACCCTAAAAAAGTAGGAAGAAGACTGCTACTTTTACAGCTGGTGGCATGTGGCCCAAATCAGACATATTGGATCAATTTTGAACATGCATTCTATGTGCCTAATCGGTAATACTGCATGCAGCTACTTTTCTATAGCTAGATATTTCCAATACATCCCCCCCCGACACAGAGAACAAAATGAATCTTGCTGCTGTGCACGGCTTTGGCTTGTACAAACAGTACAGAGAACAGACCTAGCAAAATATGAAACCTTGTACAGATCCTTGCACAATATGGATGTTTTATGAAAACTGGAGCAAACAAAGCCGTTGTCCAGATTGTGCGTTGCATTTGTTTGCTATGGCAATAGTTGTACCTTCTATATCCTAAAACAGAACCTGGTTGCTTTTTTCATCATCTCCAGTTTTCATGAGTCGACCCCTCAGGCTGTCCTGAGAAGCGCATCTCTTTTATTTAGCTTCTTACTTTCCAAGTTAAACTGCGGAGCCCCATCACTCTCCTCATTTACGGGTGTGATAAGTTTCATTCTCAGACACAATTTTCCATCATCATAGGCAGATCCAGAATTTCCCCTTTCGCTTTCCTCAGACACATCTGTGGTCACCATGGCACTCTCAACCGTGACATTGTTGGATGCCACCGTGCTCTCAGCTGTTACATCACTGGTTGCCAAGGTGCTGTCTGGACAGCCTCCGACCACTGAAACAGTAGAAATTCAAAATTTTCAAATGAAAAAAAAAAAAAAAAAAATTTGTTAAAAGCCCAAATATCTTTTTTTTCTTTTAGAGTATATCCTAAATGAATGCAGTTGAACAGAGGAAGTAAGAAAGGAAACAAATGACCAAAAGGTGTGAAATGCTTATCAAAACATGCAATATAATATTTCAAGCTCTGAGCATTAAAAAAAAAACAAAAACAAAAAAAAAAAAACAAAAAAAAAAAAACTTTACCCTTGAGATAAAGATAAAACACCTATTGAATCCAAAGCTTTCCCCTGCAGTACCTTTTCTAGGTCCAGCATCACTCAGCCCCAAAGACTGAGGATAGGCTGAGTGCAGGGTGCTATGACTCCTCCCCATAAAGCAGCATCACTACAACGCCCTGTACTCTGTGTATTAATGCAGAGGGTGGTATCATGTGCGCAGCACCACATCATCCAGGACTGCCCACTATCAGGAAAGGATTGAAGAGAAAGAGGACCAAACATATAGGGGCTGATTCACTAAAACTGGAAAGTGCAAACTCTGATGCATCTGTGCATGGAAGCCAATCAGCTTCTGACTTCAGCTTGTTCAATTAAAATTTGACCAAAAAACCTGGAAGCCGATTGGTATCTATGCAGAGCTGCAACAGATTTTGTACTTTCCAGTTTTAGGAAGTTAACCCCATAATGTCCAGTCAGAAGAAATACAAGTTACACGCACGCACACACTAAAATACTAGGGAACACTTAAAAGCGGAACTACACTGCATCTGAGCAGCACAAACCAATGACACTCCTGAATTCATTTTTAAATATTCAAAGCAAATCCCCCCCATCCATTCAAGTATCCATGTTTTATTTTGCTGAGAAATCAGTTTGAAAAACACCATCCTAGCATTTCTGGCAGTGGCCATCTTAAATAAGGCCAGAGGAATTTACTTCCTGTAATCTGGAATGCATTGCTCTTAAATCAGGCATGCAGGCAGGGGGGTGTGCTTAGCTGAGAAAGCCCCTTCTCCCTTCCTGAAGACTCCTAGGATGAATGACATTTGCCTAGGCATGGAAACCAGGAAATCACTGAAGAAATGTAACACACAAAAAAAAAAAACCACAACAGTTTAACACAAGTAAAAATAATATACTTTCCTACCTATATATTAATGCTAGCAGCATAAGGATTAAAATAGTCAATGTAAATTGAGAGTGAAGTTCTGCTTCAACGGGAAAAGGGGGGGGGGGGGGTTGATTGGTGGGAGTTAGATGGTTTGAGTTCTATTATTTTGGTGCATTTATTCATAAATATTATTACAGGTGCCCTTTATTTTTGCATTTCTCCCCAAATATGTACCTCCCCACAATTAAAAAAGTAATAAAATAAAGCTGGCTATACACTGTTCATTTTAAGAGACTGATCCCTCCTTCCAAACAAATGAGGTGGATGGAGAAATCCTCCCTCTGGGACACTGCATTCTAACGACAACCCCCCCGCGGCTGTTGGAATACAGTGAGCAGTGAGGAATATTTTCCCACAGGTCCCAAAGACAGAAGTTGATCAACTTCTGTTGAGCAGGAGCTTCCCATACACTGATCAAAACTCAGTCAGTCCCTGCTGAACCAGTCGAATGTCAATCAGTGTATGGCCAGCTTAAGAAACAGGAGATCAAAAAGGCATAAACATAACAGAATTACCACCACTGCTCTAAAAACAGACCAGCTGATCTGCTTCAATAAAAAAAACAAACCTTTTACATTAAACATACACCCTCAAGTAGGTTTTCCTTTAGTGTCTTAAATCAAGAGGACAGTCTCAGAAAAATGTTCTTCAACACTAAAGTATGCTTTATAGAAGCCATCTTTTTTCACGTATTAAGCTATGAAGGAGGGAATGACACAAGAAAAAAGAAATCTGCACAGCAATAAAAGAAGTTTATGGGCTAGATTCAAAGAAAACCCGTATTATGTGTGACTTACAGTAACCTGAAAGAACAAAAAGTTATGAAAAGGATTTGTAAAAACCGTATACCTATAACAAACTCACCAATTGGTGTACTATGCCTTCTTGGTCCACGTTTCAACTGACCAATCATGGGTGGGGTAACCGTGCTTACTGGCTGAATAAGGTCCCCTTCCTTTGGTAAGGTAAAGTGGAATGGGGTTTCTGGAAGAAGAAAACAGTTCGATACATAAAAAAATCAAGACCCAGTGAGCTTTTACCAATTTACAACTGAATACTGTTTGCTACTTTAAAGTGTACAGGTGAAACTTGAAAAATTTGAATATCATGTAAAAGTTCATTTATTTCAGTAATGCAACTTAAAAGGTGAAACTAATATATGAGATAGACTCATTACATGCAAAGCAAGATAGTTCAAGCTGTGATTTGTCATAATTGTGATGATTATGGCTTACAGCTCATGAAAACCCCAAAGCCACAATCTCAGAAAATTAGAATATTACATGCAAATCAATAAAACAAGGATTGTACATAGAAGAATATCGGACCTCTGAAAAGTATAAGCATGCATATGTACTCAGTACTTGGTTTGGGCCCCTTTTGCAGCAATTACTGCCTCAATGCGGCATGGCATGGAAGCTATCAGCCTGTGGCACTGCTGAGGTGTTATGGAAGACCAGGATGCTTCAATAGCGGCCTTCAGCTCTTCTGCATTGTTCGGTCTCATGTCTCTCATCTTTCTCTTGGCAATGCCCCATAGATTCTCTATGGGGTTCAGGTCAGGCGAGTTTGCTGGCCAATCAAGCCCAGTAATCCCACGGTCATTGGACCAGGTTTTGGTGCTTTTGGCAGTGTGGGCAGGTGCCAAGTCCTGCTGGAAAATGAAGTCAGCATCCCCATAAAGCTCATCTGCAGAAGGAAGCATGAAGTGCTCCAAAATCTCCTAGCAGACGGCTGCGTTGACCCTGGACTTAATGAAGCACAGTGGACCAACACCAGCAGATGACATGGCTCCCCAAATCATCAGACTGTGGAAACTTCACACTGGACTTCAAGCATCTTGCAGTGTGTGCCTCTCCATTCTTCCTCCATACTCTGGGTCCTTGGTTTCTAAATGAGATGCAAAAATTGCTATCAGAAAAGAGGACGTTGGACCACTGAGCAACAGACCAGGCCTGTTTTTCTTTAGCCCAGGTAAGACGCTTCTGACGTTTGTTGTTCAGGAGCGGCTTGACAAGAGGAATATGACATTTGAAGCCCATGTTCAGGATCCGTCTGTGTGTGGTGGCTCTTGATGCACTGACTCCAGCCTCAGTCCACTCCTTGTGAAAGCCCCCAACACTTTTGAATGGCCTTTTCCTTACAATCCTCTCCAGGCTACGGTCATCCCTGCTGCTTGTGCACCTTTTTCTTCCACACTTTTCCCTTCCACATAACTTTCTATTAATGTGCTTTGATACAGCACTTTGGGAACATCCAACTTCTTTTGCAATTACCTTTTGAGGCTTTCCCTCCTTATGGAGGGTGTCAATGATGGTTTTCTGCACAACTGTCAGGTCAGCAGTCTTTTCCATGATTGTGATTCCTACTAAACCAGACTGAGAGACCATTTAAAGGCTCAGGAACCCTTTGCAGGTGTTATGGCTTAATTAGCTGATTAGAGTGGGACACTTTGAGCCGAGAATATTGCACCTTTTCACAATATTCTCATTTTCTGAGATTGTGGATTTGGAGTTTTCATGAGCTGTAAGCCATAATCATCACAATTATGACAAATCACGGCTTGAACTATCTTGCTTTGCATGTAATGAGTCTATCTCATATATTAGTTTCACCTTTTAAGTTGCATTACTGAAATAAATGAACTTTTGCACGATATTCTAATTTTTTGAGTTTCACCTGTATATATTTAAAAAAAAAAAACAAAACATCAACCACTTCAATACCGGGCACTTTTACCCCCTTCCTGCCCATGCCAATTTTCAGCTTTCAGCGCTCTCACACTTTCAATGACAATTGTGTGGTCATGCAACACTGCACCCATATGAAATGATCTTTTTTTTCATACAAAAACAGCTTTCTTTTGGTAGCATTTAATCACCACTGGGTTATTTTATTTTTTGGTTAATGGGGAAAAAAAAAAAAAAAAAAAAACCGAAAGTTTAAAAAAAAAATAATTTTGTTTTTAGTTCCGGTTATAAAGTTTTGCAAATAAGTAACTTTTCTCCTTCACTGATGTGCGCTGATGAGGCTGCACTGACATGCACGGATGAGGCGGCACTGATAGCTGGCACTAATGGGCACTGACAGGCAGCACTGATAATCAGTACCCTGATTATCTGTGTACATATCCCGTCACATTTGCTGGTTACCGGATCTGCTCTCCTCACGCTGTGACAGCACGGGAGGAAAGTACTACCGATAACCAGCAAGTGTGTTTACAATGTGATCATCTGTGATTGGACACAGCTGATCACATGGTAAAGGGCCGCTGTGATTGGCTCTTTGCTGCAATCTGTGATCAGCTGAGTCAGGACACAGATCACAGAGTGTGCCTGATGCGCTCCCCAGGGGTGTGTGGTTTCAGGAGAATGTTCATGGACGCTGTGGGGACTCTCTTTCCTCATTGGCTGAGACAGCAGCAAGAGTCACTGGCTGTCAATCACAGGCAGGAAGTCAATGGGGGGGGAGCACACTGTGTGTGTGAATGGACACAATGGGGGAGGGGGGGGGGGGGCAGCCAAGCTGCAGCCGTGTGTGTGAATGGACACGAATAGCAGTGCCTTGGGAGTGAGCCTGCTTGGGTGCCCCAATAGCAAGTTGCTTGCTTTGGGGGCACTTGGCATGAGGGAGGGGCCAGGAGCACCAGCAAGGGACATGAGAAGAGGAAGATTAGGGCTGCGCTGTGAGAAAAACCTTAATTGAGCAGGCAAGTATAAAATTATATATATTTTTTTTACTTGCTTTTAATAGAACTTTAAATTTTCTCTTTCACTTACCGCTAGAGCTTTCACATATACTACGTGTGGATTGCTCTCCTGTTTTTTCCTGGAACTCTGAATCCACTCCATGTGCATCATCCTCACAAGAAGCAACAGATGTATCAGGTGTACATTTATTAAATGACAAAGGAAAAGCGTTGGGATTGTTATCCACTCTCAGCAGTACAGCCTGCTGATGTTCTTTCTGGACAGAAACAGTTTCAGGATTCCGATCTAATTCTTTCTGGACATCATTAATACTAGAAACTGGAACATCTTTCTCTGTGCGCCGAGATTCTATCCGTTTCAAATCCTCAGAAATACTTGTCTTGTTCTGTGGAGCCTCACATGGATTTTGCAGAGCACAAACAGGTGATTCATTCACTTCTGCTACAGAAAGTTCAGCTTTTTTCTCTTTTGTCCAGAGTCAGGTACATCTTTTGCTAGGATAGGCTCTTGTTGATTACTATCTGCCAACTCTTGAGTATCTTCTATTACAATAACACTACAGGTTTCATTTGCTTGTTTTTTGCTAAACCCACACAAGTTTTTATTTCCATGAAGGTCCTCTTTGACATCTGGTGCTGCTTCAACTATTGGTAGCTTCTGTTCTGCTTGCACTGTTATATCAGCATTTTCCGTGCTCTGTGGTTTTAGTGCATTAGGGCATACTGACACTGTGTCATTCCTGTTTTGTTTAATACATTCCTTATTTTCAACAGGCACCAGATACTGCTGAGTTTCTTTCTCCATGATATTCATATCTACTGAACCTTCCAGAAGGGCACAATGCTGTTGGTCTGGATCTGGTAACTTCTCTGCTTTAGTTGCAAGAAAATCAGTGCTTGTAGATGGAAGATATGAACTCTGCTGCGGAGGGTTTACTGAAATGTTACAATCAATAGCTAAAGGCACGACACATTCTGACTTCACATTATCTGGGTTGTCACCTACTTGACAAATTAGCTCAGATTTATCTTTGGGAGAATTAGATTCATTAGCTTTCTGATCAGCACTTGTTTTATCTATATGTAATTCTTTAGTAGGTGTGGTTGGAGATTTGTTACATTCAGTCATTTCAGTTTGTGCAGGAACATTTTCAACTTTAGATACTATGCTAGGGCTAGTCTCCATATGCATAGCAGCATCATTTTCTGACGGCAGCATTTCTTTTTGACCTTCAACAGGCTTTGGTAAATTATCTGGAGAGGGTGCTTCTTGGTCCACTTCCATTGCTTCTTCATTGTCTAATGGTTCCACATCCTCTTTGCAAGGATGCTGAGTCTCAGACAGTGCTAGATTTAGGTTGCCCTCCATTTTTTCATGCTCACTTTCAGTTACCATATAATCCTCACTGTCCTTCTCACATGGAGTTTCAGGAACTTCCTCTACATCATCAGACACACCGTCAACAACTACAGTTGACTTTTGGTCTGATATGTGTTGGTCTAAAATGCTTAAAGAAGCATCAGAATCTAATGATGGTACCAAGAGTGCCTGACTTTCAGAACTGCACGTAATGGTGATACAATCAACAACTTTGCTGTTATTTTTATCACTTAAGTCAACACATTCAGATGACGGGAGTTTACGGTTTGCAGATAGATCGCCTTTATTTGCCAATAGTGCTGGGTCACACACAGTTTGGTTTTCTTGGTCTAATGAAGGGTGACTAGTTTCTTCGGCCACTTCAATTTGTGTAGCCCCACCATCTGCTCCTTCAGGAGTCTGGCCCACCTCCAGGAGTTCACTAGGTTCACTTGTGGATAATAGTAGATTACAGTCATCTGTTACTTCACCCTCAGTATGTTTCAAGTCTTCAGAAAGTTCAAGCTTTAGATCTAAAGCTTTCTGATCCTCCTCACCCTTTGGGAATTGTAACTGGTGGGGCTTCTCTCTGGAAGGAGAGTCTTCAAGACTTGGAGTTGGTATGAAAACATCCTGCAAAATAGTTGCAAATAATTTGTTGAACTGCATACCAAATATCTCCTTTTATGTACAAAATAATATATGGGGAATAGACCAGGAAATTAAATTTTATTACAGTATCAAGATTAGAAAAGTTTGCCATTCATTATAAAAGAAATCAGTAGATTTGTGTGAACAAATTAATAGTACACACAGGTATAATAAATTACAAACATCCCAAAAAGAAACCACATTGCCAATCTCTATTGTACTACCTGCCACAAAATTATTTTTCCTGGCTAAAACTTCCATGTGGCCATCTCCGGATACAGCAGCAACTTGAGATAATGTGACACTACTGTGAGTTGTAAAAAAAAAAAAAAATGCTGCAACTGGTAAACCAAAAAAAGTGAAGCAGTAGGACACCAAGCTAAACTCGTCCTTTCCCGGTCAACGCCAACCTTGTCTCAAAATATCACCCAAACCAACAGTCCTAGTACCGTGGCAACCCCCTTGGTGCTCAGCCTGCATGGCCTACTCACAAATTAAAGCGTTACTAAACTCATCACCCTGCATTCACTATATCATGTAAACCCACACTACACAGAACACAGAAATGCAATTATTTTAGTAAATATAAACTGGTATATCCCTGTTCTCCTCAGCAGTATATAGCAGCCTTGTGACCTCTATCAGTGTCTGGCCGAGCACTGGTTAAAGCTCGTAGGAGGACTTTTCATTCTCCTCTGACTGTCCTATGAGGCTGCATGACACCTGACCCTCTGTCTGGACAGTGCTGATTGGCCCTGTGCTGATTACATGCACTCTCCCAAGAAAAAAATAAATAAATCTCTAGTACTACACACCAAACTAAGAATCTGCAAAGTGACTCCTTCAGCTCTGTACTAACAGCGGATGGATTGGGGACTGTGGAAGAAGGGGAGGATCAGAGAAGACAGGATCAAACAGCCTTTTTACACAATGCAGAGCATTAACCCTTTAGGTTCCACAGTGAGTATAACAAACATGCTTTACTGCAAAAAAACAGATTGATTTTACTGTTGTGGGTTTAGTAACACTTTAAATGCTTCCAAATCATGCTATACAACAGGAGACCAGACATAAGCACAAGAAAATACTTCAAGAAACTTACATGGGAGAACTCTGGCTGTGAGGGTACGGCAAATGACCCTGACACAAATGTTGGAACACTTTGGCAAACTGGAGTGGATACTTGAGGAACAGGGACAAAGGGGCAACTCTTGGAACCTGTAGCTTCTATCTGTGGCTGTACATCCACTTCTGTCTTATTTGAGGGTACTGAGGTGTCCATGTCTTCAACTAGAAAATAAATATGCACACAAGTGGTAATATAACATATACAAAAGAAGCCCACAAAACATGAAGAAACTCATCCCAGAAACAATTATTCATTTTAACCCACTGATCCTAATGAAGCCTGTGAGGTAGCATGCTAGTTCTAACTTCTTTTGTCTAGGCATGACTGACGACATTCCTGGAGATCAAGGAGGACTTCATAAAACTATCCGCAATGTTCTGTCCTAGGGATCCACTTTTTTTCCTTTTCACAGTCAGTCCACAGGAACTTACCAACAGAACCTCAACTCTGAATACTCAAACCATGTCAACTGCCTCTGAACTTCTATAGCTGTACTCTACAATCAGTCTTTCAGTCACTACTTGCAAACCATGGCCACTGATGAGGACAAGGAGGCCAAGTGGTAAACTGCAAGCATCATTTAACACAAACCAACAGAATTTGTACAAGATTGTTTTTATTTTTACCCAAGTTACTTAGAAAGCAACAACTGGTACATAGACAACAAGGACAAGATCAATCACACAGACAGAGGATTACCTTCTTCATGCTGCCCTGTGGGGGAGCTGGGAACAATAATGGGAGTAGGTTGGATATCATCTGGGGAGGGAGAAGCGAGGTCTGTGGGAACTCTACAGGAGGAAAGAAAATACATGCGCACCGGTTATCCAGAGAATGCATATCCCATACGCAAAACACTTCGAAACTGGCAGAGGTGCTGAACTAACTAAAGACTTCTCTGTACATATGATATATGTAAGGAACAGACATTTACATCTTCAAAATACACACACACACACCAGGGATCAAAATTTCAAGTCCAGAGCTACTAGCCAGGCCATAAGAATTACTCACCAGCAGTTGCCCCACCCAACCCCTACCCTGCACCGCCGCTACTCACGCCATCGTAAATTATCTCATGAAATGACACGGTTAAATATTCTATGCAGAATTAGGTTACATTCACAGCAGTATCCTTTGCCCCCCTTTACATCCCTCCCCACATCCATGTCCTCTACCCACTTTCACACATCCCTCACCCCCCACAGCCTTCTCCTCTACCCCCTTTCACAAACACCCCACCCTCCGCAGCATTGTCCTTTACCCCCTTTCACACACCACCATGTACTTTATTCCCCCTTTACAGCCCCCTCCCAGACATGCCCTCTGTCACAATCGCGGCGTCAGACCCCAGACCTTCTCACCCAAACTCGTGACCGAAGGGCTAGCCGATCTAAACCCGCGATGTGACGTGCGTAACAATGCCACACCCAGCTGCACACTGCACAACGATTTCCCAGCTAATGGATACAGATCGATGTACCGGCAGCCTGAGCGATTGTTACTGGGTCAGGTTAATTACGCAATTAACCCTTCACACTGCCACCACCTCCTTTTTGTACAGAGAAAGAGGAAACTCGGCGTTATCAGCTATAACACTATATTGATTGAGATAATCGTCTGTATAAAAACGGTCCGCAGGCTGGTTATACAGAGGTTTAAACAACCACAGTAGCGTCTCTTTAGAGGCAGGAATTCGTGAGTTGCAATACAGAGCTATAGAAACAGTTCAACACTTTCAAAAACAAAGATTTATTACTAAAAAGGTCAAACTGGAGCAATAAAAATATTTACAGAACAAAGATGTGACTAAGATATATATATACAAAGAACCATAGCACAGCAAAGAGGTATCAGAGAGAGGTGAAAGGGTTAAAAGTACTTGCCAAAGTCCTGGGTTAGCAGATTAAAGTTTCAGAGCAGAAGGGTGGTTTGATCTCCCCATGTTACGATGGAAAAAAAATGGGAGAATTCTTCAACTTCTTCCTCTTAGGCCTCACAGCCTGTTTTAAAGTCCCCCGCAGGGGGGTGGCTCTGCAGTCAAGGGCCAATCTCCACTTAGGGCGTGGAAATATGGGTGGATGCCTCAACTAGAGCAAAAACCTCCCATAACTCATATTTGCCTATAATTTTTCATCTGCACAAGTGACAGTCCACCCGCAGGTAGATTATTATGCAGACAAGTCTGAGGATTAATTAGATATGAATTAGGAAACTATATACTGCACGGTTCACGAGATCTATGTTTCTGCTTCCCTGAGTGTCCGAGACAAGGCGAGTGACCCACCAAACTGTTCGTCTGCTCATTGGCCATCTGACGAGGTGTCCGGCTTTTATGTACGTCTTTTATATTCCAAGATATGAGACATAGGGGAAAAATGGATTTACCAGAAGTTATCTGATTCTGTCACCTACACAGAGTTAGGTTTTATGAGGTTAGAATCTCTTTCAGCTCCTGAGAAAGCTTGCCTTATCTCTTAGGTGTTACAATTGGCAGAATGTGGACAGAGAGACTCCAACTCTCTTGGGGGAGTTTCCAGCTCCTATGACCCTCCTGTGGCATTCCTAACTCACACACATACTGGCCACATGTCGCTGGGCCTCTCAGGAAGGGAGGGGGAAGGAGATTAAGGGAGAAATGGATACTCTTAACAAAATGGAGTCTGCCTCCTTCACTGTGTGCTGTGCACGTTTGCGACACCCTCTACCCCCATCACCCCCCCCCCCCCCCCCCGATCATGCCCTCTACCCCCCCCCCCCCCCCCGAACATATCCTCTACCCCCCCCCCCCCAACGTGCCCTCTACCCCCATCACCCCCCCCCCCCCCACGTGCCCTCTACCCCTATCATCCCCCCCTGAACATGCCCTCTACCCCCATCACCCCCCCCGAACATGCCCTCTACCCCCATCACCCCCCCCCCCGACAGCCAAAACACCTTTTATTTGTTCTTACTGTGGTAAGCCATGTAAAGATATATTATGATTGGTTGCTATGGGTTACAACATTGTATTTAATTAAGCATTAAAATATCTACTTAAGGCAGTAATGATGTGTACAGTGCCTATAGTAGCCAATCATATTTTATCTTTTTATTTATCACAGTCAGATCAATTAAATAGGATTGCTGGTATTGGTTATTTTTTTCCTTTATCAGTGTAATAATTACACTGAATAAAAAATAAGTAAATATTTTAATGCTATAGTAAATATAGCATTCAAAAAATTAAAGCCAACTAATAACACTTTCATTGATTTAGGATGCAGAGAGACAGCAGAGCACAGCACTCGTTTCTAGGTAGTCCAAACAACCAATCACCAGCTTGTTAAATAGGCAAAGTAAACTTTGGCAGCTCCCGCCCATACCGCCTCATCTAGTTCTTTGCTGACTCCCGCTGTATGCCAGGCCCTGCTAAGAGAATTACAGGGGGCGGAGGCTAGGAGGATGCCCATCTCCCCTCCGATGACGCTCCACACTTGCCCTCAGTTTATTTTCACTCGCCGAAGGCGAGCAAGGGAGTTGAAATTTTGAGGGCTGATTGATCGAGGTAGATAGATAACTAACACACACACACACACACACACTAGGCTGAGCTTCACATCAGTTGCTAAGCAAAGTGAAAATTCATTTTTTTTCTTTACTTCATTTATGTATGTCAAGGCAAAAAGAAATACATGCATATTTCCCTATGTTTTATCAGTTAAAGGGACCCTTGCAAGTACAGAACATGCCTGAGATCTGCCAGAAAAAAAAGCTCAATTTTTTATTCGGAATGGACAACACACAGCACTGTTGTGGACTGCGTGAGAACAGCTCTACCCATTTTAATTTTCCTAAACAACTCAACTGTCTTCATCTCCAAAGAATAGACCCTAATTTATTTGAAGTCCTGAGAACTAGGAAGGCTAGACTCAGAACACAGGCAGAGAGCAAAAGGATAAAAGGCAGCTCTGTAAATCTGACAAGATCAAAATTGGGTTTTGCATAGATAAAATGTTTTCAATACAATATTTAAAGCCCACCTCCGGCCAACTAAAAAATGATCTCTTGCAGTGGACTGTGCCCATAATGCAAGGGTTCATTGTTAAACTAGGTTTAGGGGAACAAAAAAAACAACAAACAAAAAAAAAAATAATGAAGACTACCTTACTCTGTCCTCCACTCTTCCCTGCTGCTGTACCAGTCCTGGCAGTCTCTACTCCCCTACACTCTAGTGGGCAGGGATTTAGGCGTCATCAGAACCAAAGCCAGCCATAGATGGAGTGCAATAACATCTCTAGATTCCCCCATCAACACAATCAGCATTGATGATGGAACCCCTCCCACTGAGCCATTGTGTTCTCCCAGCGGGGAGGGGCAGGGGGAGCTGTCCAGGCTGGAAACACACAGTAATTACTGCTAGCGGCTATAAACACATAAAAAAGTCAGACAGGCTAGTTGTATCCAAGTTGGGCAATCAAACTTGGGTACATTCAGCCTGCACATATATGGTTCCAAAAATAAGAGTAGAGATGAAGATAGCCCTATAGCGATGCATTTCGCTGAATATCATAATGGAGATCCAGAAGGCCTGAAGGTTAAGGGAATCTTTCTGCTTCACCCCTCAAAAAGACGTGGGGACTATAATACAGTCCTTCTGCAGAAAGAAAAAAAATGTGGATTTTTAGACTGGGCCCCCTGGCCCCACAGGGCCTAAACACAAAATGTAACTTACAGGTTTTTCTGAAATCAAAATGACTGTCATGTATTGTTCCTGCAGTCCTTTCCATTTAAATGAGGATGTTATAATGTAGAACTGCATGACAGCCATGTAAAAATTATCTGGTTTGTATTTATTCTTCCTTTTGCTCTTTTTCCCCTACTAATTTTGTGACGATCCTTAGATGCGATCTATTTTTAGTGAAGACCTTTATTGCAGTAATATGACCTGGATTTCTTCTGGAGGTAACGTGCGCCATTTACATGCAGGTGTGTCTGCAATTAGGCTGATGGGTGACATCTTGTAGTGCAAAAAAGGGTATTGCCTACCACAGGGTATAAATACACTGATACACTGCAACAGAAACCAAAAACCAGCGCTCAAACCTTCTTGCTGCACTGAGAACATGGAATCTAGCACTCGCTGAGGTGCCGCCCTTGACAGATTGGAGAATCTTGTTACTAGCAGTTCTATTTCTCTGAGGAAGGGAGTTTGACTCCCGAAACGCGTTAGCACATTTACCTGAGGACCTCTGCTTTCCACAACTGGCATCGATGACTCATTGTCTGTTTTTATGACCTTTTTGGTTTGTGAGTATGCATTTGTAGTTTTATAATAAATTTCTTATTATCACGGTAATGCACAAGGAGAGTGCGCCCTGTTTTGCTCTCTTTTTACACTGATACACTGGACCCACCTTTCCCTGAAGAAGCCCAAGCCTATTGGGTGAAACATGTCGAATTGCACCTCCTCACGCATGCCTTGTGCGTGATGTCACCGTGTTCTGCGACCGTCTCATCTGTCCTCCATCACAGGTCTGGGCATCCAGCATCTCCAGTTACACTGATTACAGAGGGACCAGATTTACACCACCACTGATACCGTACAGCTTACAAGGAGAGCACTTTGACACAGTTTAGTGAGAATGTCCCGAAATTACTTGTGACTTGCTGGAATCAAGCTCAGTGAACACTACAGAGTTGGTGAGAAGCCGATTACTTATGCATACTTATTGCTGTTTATGAACTTACACACTACAGTACTGTAGGTTTGTGGAGCAGATGGTGCCTCATATTGGTCATCTTATGGGACATATTTACCGGACTGATATCGACTGGCAATTCTTTTTTGCAGAAGAAAATGAACTTCTAGGCGCCCTCCACCTATATTATATATGGTTATAGGACAACTGGTCTTCGATCTGACCTCTACCTTTAACACATGGCATACCACTGAGTAAATATTCTTTATACTCCTACACCCACTATCTCGGTCCATTTACCCCATGTGTTACCATATTGTAGCTGCAGGTCTTTTTGCCCCCTCAGTGTGTATGTTTGAGGATGTATGAGTAGCTGCATAGGTGACTAGACAATGTTGTCTTTTTAAATTGTTAAGGTAAGCGCTGAGCAAACTGTTGGCGCTATATAAATCCTGATGAAAAAAAAAAGATGGAGTAGGAGGAGGAGAAGGAGGTATGCTCAGTTTGTGTTTTTATCTGTGCGAAGCACGTGTTATTTTCTAATAAAGCTCTTTTTTTTCTAAAGCTGCATGGTCCCATATGAAACTATCTTTTCCAGGGAACCCTTATCCCTATGCATATGTGTCTATAGATTATTAGTTTAGGAGACCACACCCATCTACTTTTTATTAACCTTTGGGTGAGTCAGCAATCAATTGATCACACACACACACTATTATTTCTAGTTGAATTCCCTGTACATCAGCTTCCCTGTCCCCTGGTGTACGTTCCTCTTTGTATTCCTTGTAAGCTGTCCTGGGACTTATCCCAGAAGATGTAAATCCGGCTGATGCTAGCCTACTATGAACAAGGGCCTTATTGTTAGCTTAAAAATTGATTTTACCATGATGGCTCACCTACTCCTCCAACCTCAAATGGAGGGATACCATCAATTCTAACTTAAGGAGGGAAAAAAAAATTGACCTACAGAATAGGGGTTGTGCTAAAAAGTTTTAAAAAACCTGGTTGCCATGGTTTCCCTCCACTGAATAGACAAGCATTACAGCAGTTGAGTGATTCTAAAGTTTTGTAGTGGTTTTGCACAGAGCAGCCTGGATCCCCCTCTTCTCGGGTCCCCAGCAGGCTCTCCTGGCCCCTACTGTCTGTCGGGTGTCCCCACAGCAAGCAGCTTGCTATGGGAGCACCTGCTGCTCCATGTGTCCATTCGCACACGGAGCCACAACTTGCGCCACCCCTCTCTCATCATTGGCTGACTGGCTATGATTGACATGGCCCCCACTTGTTGTCTCAGCCAATGAGGAGGCAGAGACCCTATACAGACGAGGCTTTTGTTCATATTGCTGGATCGCAATGAGGCTCAAGTAAGTATTGAGGGGGATGGGGCACTGCTACACACAGGTTTTTTTTACCTTCGTGCATAGAATGTACGAAGGTAAAAAATCTTCAGCTTTTACAACCACTTTAAACGTAACCGATTAGGGGACATGTGTTGCTCTGCCAAGCTTAGTTGGACTAAAATTTTACGACTGTCTTGTATGCATAGCTGTTTCAGTCCCCATGCTAGGGATTTTACGTTTATTCTGGTGTATCTGCTAAGTTACTATTGTATGTATTGTGACAATCTGGAACGCACGATGTTTGTGTAACAATTTTATTTCAAATGGTTTCTGTTTTTTTTATGAACAGAAGCAAACAAGGGCGCACTCTCATTCTGCACTACCGTGGTATACGTGTTTATATAGTGTAATCAAATAGATACTCACAAACCAAAAGGAGAATAAAAGCAGAATAAGTAGTCCACAATGGCAGTCAATACAATGCTGTGCCCTAATTAGGGAAACTACTGACGCGTTTTGGGAGACGAACCCCCTTCTTCAGAGTAAAAGTGTATTCCTGCTGGTCCCGTGCTTATATACCAAAGAATGCCAAAGAGGTCAAAAGGCGCACGCACGCACGCACGCACACACACAGACACACTAGCAGAAAAGGCCGATTGGATCCACCTCCAAAAAGAAAAAAAAAATGAAAAAAAGATAAAAAATATTAAAGATAAAAATAAATAAATATAAATCTAAAAATAAAGAGATGTAAAAATGGATAAGTAAATAAAGGTATAAATAATTAATAATGTATATATAAACCACATCAATCATTACATATATGAATGCAATGCAAATAAAAAGATATACTGTACCCTCAGGATGGGTTTGCATGGCTCTAATAGACGATCACTGTCCCAGGTGTATCTGTCCCATGTGGAAAGTAGTATATGATACATAGAATGATGTATGATGTAGATATTATATAAATTAATATATTTTATTTATCAGCAGCCAGCGTGGCGTTTGTACGCTGGTTTAGTGTAGATGTGACTAGCCACGGGAATGACTGTACGCATGCGCCCCGCGCAGCGCCCTGTTCGCGCACCGCACCTTGGTTGAACCACGCGCATGCACACCGTCATTCCCATGGCTAGTCACGTCATTTATATATCTACATCATCATATTTATCATATACTGCTTTTCACATGGGACAGATACACCTGGGACAGTGATTGTCTATTAGAGCCATGCAAACCCATCCTGAGGGTACGAGTACAGTATATCATCTTTTTATTTTTGCATTCATATATTTAGTGATTGATGTGGTTTATATATACACATTATTTATACATTTACTTATCCATTTATGCATTTTTACATCTCTTTATTTTTATATCTTTAATTTTTTTTTATCATTTTTTTTTTTTTTTTTTCTTTTTGGAGGTGGATCCAATCGGCCTTTTCTGCGATTGGACCACAATGTGTGGGGGAGGGCCTTTTGACCTCTTTGGCATTCTTTGGTATATAAGCATGGGACCAGCAGGCATACACTTTAGCTCTGAAGAAGGGGGTTCGTCTCCCGAAACACATCAGTATTTTCCCTAATTAGGGCACAGCATTGCATTGACTGCTATTGTGGACTACTTATTCTGCTTTTATTCAGATTTCCCGATCTTTGAAGGGCTGCACCTCCCCGTTTTGGCATTCTGAATTCCATCTAGTATGCATGAAGATTTGAGCGCTGGTTTTGTTTGTCTTTTAATTGTTTTCTGTTTTTTAGTTTTTGTCCTGACTTTTTGGTTAATGCTCTTTTTCACTTGGGAGAAAAAAAAACAAAAAAAAACACGGTCTATAAAAACGACCTGATACTACCCAAGAACAAAAAAAAAAAGTTGTTTTTCATCTCTCCTAGACAAAATGAGCTATTAACTCCTGCAGTGAGAGCTGGGCTTTAAACAGAACAAAAAAGTTCTTTACATACACTTTAGATAATGTTCTGAAAATAAGCTTTGCAAAGTGAACATGCTCTACTGCTTTAGTAAATTAAAGAAGTACAGCCAAAACTCTTTTGTACAGTTTGTTGTGCATTCCTGCGACCTTTTTTTTCAGCTGACAGTGGGTTGAATCCCGCTGTCAGCTGATGTTAGAGCCGCTCCACGTTCGTGATCCACCCCAAAGTCTGAAGCGGGCACCTGGCTCAACTTCTCAGCAAGCCACTGAAAACCTGAGCCAGCCTCTTCCCCACCTCCACAGCCCAATGCTCCAATGAGCACGGTCAGTCATCACTATCTTAGTATAAACCAAAATCTGAGCTTAGAGGAACAAACACCAATATATAGCAGCTGGATACTATACCTTGATACCAGACACCTCAAAAAGTGTTCAAATAAAAGTGCAGCGCTCAAAACATTTCATACAAAAATCATGATAATAATAATGATATGTGATAGTCAATCGAAAATTGTGCATAAATTAAATAATCATAGTGAAATCAGAACAGATCAGTCCCCAAATGCCGTGATGAGATCAGAAGACTTCTAAAGATAGCCAGTGTGACAGCGGAGGTGAGAACTCAGAGATCATGTGATTGCTGAGTTCTCTCCCTCAGAGCTGGCAGGGACAGATGGAACAGCGGACCGAAGCAATGATGATTAAAAAAATTAATTTTTCCCCATACTTTTCTTTTAATCCCACCGTATACATTTTGTGATTAAATAAAGATGTCAAATTGAATCACTTACTCTGTGACACTGACAGATGGAAGGCTGGCCTGTCCAGAGAAATGCAGGAGGCGCAGGCTTTCAGCGGGTGTAGAGACAATCTTGGATACAATAGGACTGACAGATACATCTACAAAAGAAGAGATTTAAAAATAATTATTTTTATGCCGACACAAACCCGAAAAATAAGCCATTTATAATGTCTCATGTTCTGTAACCTGAAAACACTGAGGATTCTGTGGGCTAAATGGGGCATCCTCTTCACCAAAATGTTGGAGAGTCAAACTACCAAAAGGACCCATCTGGATACACAAATCAGCCTCCGCCTGTAGAAGTGGGGGCACACCTTCATGCAAAGAATGCTCATAGGGGTTAGTAACCTTTGGCTTCAAGCCCTACGGGCTGAGAGCAAGTAGTTCTTTGGGTACCTACTCTTAAACTAGATTAAGGACAGGGGTGGGGGGGTCCCTCTGACCCCTCCACAGATCTCCAGGAAAACACTCTGGCTACCTGTGGTACTGCTAATCATAGGCTCAGGGCTGGAGATAAATTCCCTCCAAGGTTAAGCGATAGTCGGGCATTTTCTGTGATGCACCATTTCCATTCAATAAAAAAAAAAAGCAAAGCGAAGCTTTGGTATCACTTTAAGCCCATAAGCCTGAATGATGACCTGTCTGAGCCACTAAAAATGGTTATACAAGAGGCTTGTTTTCATTTTACAGAGAGAATCAGTCTAATGGAAGTAGTGGCTGTAAAGTAGACAAGCACAAACTTCACCTGGATAACTGAAAGAGATCTCCTTTTGATAAACTGAAGCTGGACAGTAGGATGGAAGAACAATGTCCTGATTGTGGCAAGGGGCCAAGACCACCTTAGGAAGAAAGGAGGCTCTAGGCCTCAACACCTCTATGTAAGAAGGTCTCATTACAGGCAGGGCATAGCCGCTAGCTCAGACACACACCTCACAGAGGTGATGGCAACAAGAAACACAACCTCGTGAGTGAGTCGAAAGAGAAAATATCCCTGACAGGTGTTTTTTGTTTTTTGGGTTTTTTTAAGTGCTGAGAAAACCAAACGTTAGATCCCATGGAGTCAAGAGTGAGTGTACAAGAGAAGTCACATGAGACACCCTTTACAAAATTCTTAAATAGTGAGAAGCTAGAGGTTTCTGGATCAAGATTGCCAGCACAGAGACTAGCTTCTTTATGGTATTTCGGGACAAATCTTTATCCAGGCCCAAGTGCATAAAGGCCAGGATTTTCCCCATGAAAAATTCCCTGGGATAAAAATTCTCCCCCCTCGTACCAAGTGTGTACAGAGTTTGTAGTTTCTGCTTGGGAAGAAAAAAAACTTGGGCTTAAACTGAAATGCTTTGCCACACTGGATCCCTTTTGATGTTTTTAGCCCAATCAGAGGGCCTCCAAACACTTGTCAATGGCGTGCTTGAACCCAGGTGTATCATCAAAATAAATGGTTAACCCCTTGTTAAGGCACTGAAAGTGAGTCCACAGAAGGAGTAGTCCACTTCTCAACAAAGGGGTAAGGCATGGAGAGTTGCTTTGGAGGAATGAACACCTAGTCACAGATCTTCCAGTCTCTGGAGGTCGACAGAAAATAACAGGTGCAACAGAAAGGTCTTGGCGAGCCTTGGCCAAGTACTGCACCAGCAGAAACCTCAGACTTATTCTCTAGTTTTTAGGTGATGTGAACCAAGTCAACGAGAGCTGCTCTGGTCACTTTAAGCCCGGGAGTAATAGTAGCCATCTGTGATTCCTCAAGTATGACATTGTCCATTAGGAACTAAAAAAAAAAAAGTTACGTTATCCTTGCTCTCTGGTGTGCCTGGTGCCTGTCCAAGGGAGCCCATCTCAGTTTCCTGTACAGTGTATCAAACACAAGGCCGTGAAACTCTTCATAAAAAAAAGCTTTATTCAGCCAGAACAAAAACACATGTAGAGGGCTTAGCTGTAAGCGGTTCTGCAGCTAATTAGTGCACTGTGGTCTGGAAAGCATTAAAATCACAGAGTCCAATGCTTGAAGGTCACATTCCAGGCCAGCCCCGCACTCATCTGGCAGGGTCCAGGTATGGCCCTGCAAAACTAATGCCAAGGAGCTGCTGATCTGTATAGCTGCATTTAGAGACCAGTTCAGCAGCTTGTAGTAGAGGAATATCAACTAAAAAAAAAAAAAGCATCTTGAAGAAAAAAAAAAAAAAAAAAAAAAAAAAAAAAAAAAACTAGTAGAAAGAAAGATTAGACTTTTCTAAGCAGCGAAAAAAGTATCCATCCTTTTAGAACACTAGCAAAAAACCAAGACTGGCTGGGAGCAGAGAGGTTACACAGAGCTGGTCATTCATTTTTGTTTGCCAATGTCCAAAATTCTCCTGTAGGCAGCAATCTAAATCAAAAGTCATTAAATTCCTATGTCCCTGGACAGAGCTAAAGAAAAGATGTCATCCTTCTGGGCACTAGCAAAAAACCAAGGCATTCTGAGTAGAGGAGGGGTTACGATTTTTCCTGTTTACCAGTGTCCAAACCTCCTGTAGTCAACAGTAACCAAATGGTGTCTCAATTCCGGTTTCCACCAGTGAAAAGAAGGAAAAAAAAAAAATGCTCTCAGCTACACAGAACAATGATGGAACCTGCATATGGTCCTTAAAAAGCTGCCAATAGAAAGAACATTTTTATCTCCTGGCAACCAGTCAGCAACATGCAGTGGCCCATTAAGTGTATCAGGACAGTATGTGATGTAGCACGGCATGTACTTCGTGCACCAGGTCAGCAGTCCAGACAATCAGGGGAAACATAAAAGAAGAAAAAAAAAAACAAAAAAAAAAAAAAAAACCACACCAATAGTTTTACCCAGAGAAGGTGACAAAATACAAGATTGACTGAAAACTGCAGAAAAAAAAAATATATATATATATTCATATGATGTAAGAGAAAAAAAAAAAATAGTGATTTTCATATTAAGGAATTTATAGAACTACAAAGATACAATGCTTTCATTGCAGTAATAATCCACAATCTTATTTGGTATTTACAGATTACAGAGACACCACATTTGCCTAATGCCATATTGAACACATTACTGTTCATGCAGGCAACAAAATAAAAGTAACACATGTAATACCAGTGTGTCCAAACATATCTTCTTGACTGGAGGCGAGATCTGAGACGTCCATCTCTTCGTCTTCAGTCTTTGAGCATAATGGCTCTGCTACACTTGATTCTTTAAGCTGGTCCTCTAAGGCAGTGGATGTGTTTTTCTCATCTACATTACAAGACATTTTACCAATTCCTGTTTCTTGATTTCTAAAAGAAAAGCAAGAATGTTGTGATAAGATGCACAGTGATCTCTAGAAAAACCAGAACAAAAACATTACTGCAAAAACCAAGTTACCAAGGACATGTCCCTATATACAGTAGATGGGTTGAGAGAATGAACAATATGGGCAAAGCCAGGGAAGTTGGAAGATTGCCAATATAATAAGAATAGATTTAAAAACAAGTGAAGGGTTAGTACTCAAAAAAAAATTTTCACAGGGTACCAAGGAGTTCAAATTGACTGCCTTGCATTATTTCAGCATGTTAGGGTTTGGTTTATGAAGATATTCAAGTTCGTTTGGGAATCACCAGAAGTTTCAACAAACTAACTTCTGGAACATCTTCTATTCCATATATCACATCCACTTTTAAACATTCGACAAATGTAGGTCACCGATTCAGAACCTCAGTCCTAACCCAAATAATGCAGCTCATCTTCCTCTTGAGATATTAAGGCAGAGTTTTTCAGCTGGGGTTCCACCACAATCTACCCACCAATTGCAGTCAGCTGATGGTTAGATCATATCTCCTCTGCCAACACATGCAGATCTAGGTAGCGAAGCGGATGTGATCAGTCTTCTTCTGGTGCTGTCTTCCCTGCTGGTCCATCCTCGCCTTCTGTCCATCCCAAGTGATGACACCCACAAGCACCTGGGATGGTGAGGAGAGGCCGGCCGGGAACGGCGCGCCAGAAGAGGATTGATCACAGCCACTTCCCTGCCTAGCTCTACATATAAAGGAAACCTCTGCTATTGTAACGTGCCCTGCTGTGTGCTTTGTAATGTGCCAACATCCCATATAAAGGGCCATACAATGTGCCCTTTTCTAAAGTAATGTGCCCTCCTGACCCCCTTTTCTCCATCCAGCTACCCCTCTGCATACAGCTTATCTCAAGTTGGACCTAGAATTGATCCCATGTAAAAGGGCCCTATAATGAGCCCTCCTGACCCCCTCAGCTGCCCCCTATATACTGCTTATCCCACATTACACCTAGAATTAATCTCATATAAAAAGGGCCCTATAATGAGCCCTCCTAACCCCCCCCATTTAGTGTGCCCTCCTGACCCCCTCCCTATACCCCACCCAGCTGCCCCCTGTATACTGCTTATCTCACCTTGGACCTAGAACTGCGCACCTGTGTAGAAATAAGCAAGTACAAGTTTCATATTATTTAGGTACATTTTAATATTTATTGTAATATTTAATGCAATTTCGAAAAATGATATTGCAACAGCTCTCTGATTACACCACTGTTCTGGGAGCTGTATATGTGAACATTATTTCAGGTGTTTTCTGAGATCTTAAATTTTATGCCAAGGGTTCCTCCAAGGATAAAAGGTTGAGAAACCCTGTATTAAGGTCAGTAAACAAAACAAAATATCTACAAAACCACTACACGCTTCTATGTAAGCCTATTTGATAAAAACAGGATTTTCGACAACAAATACCCTAGTGTGCTGCCAAAAATGGCAGGTGATATTAAGCAATACTGGCAATAGCAAAAAACAAGAAAGCAGAGGATGTCAGAATTCCTCAGTGACTTGAAAGGGAAATCTTCATAGTTTTTCTTATTAGGAAGAGCAGCAGGCAACACATAGTGGAGCATCTTTTGCTTTCCTTGTTCCTCCCCCCTCCTAAAAAATTGAATGCCATTTCATTTTATACAAAAAGGCGTACTAACCTTTTTGTGTTCTGGCTCGGGGCAGAATGACAAATCGGGCACTGCTGCCTCTGCCGCAAGATATTTCTCATGCAAAGATGTGCTGCAGAGGTCTTTAGGTTTTGGCAGAAACCCGCATCACTTCCGCGAATGCACGGACCATCTCTGTCCATATAGGCAAGACTATGTGTTATGAATCCTCTAATACAGTGTTTCTCAACCTTTTTTCTGTCAAGGCACCCTTTACAATTATGAAGTCTTAAGGCACCCCATTCTAGAATGTGAAAAACTATTCTAATAGTTTTATATAACTCAGCAACACCCACACATGTAGGACACCCAACATTAGAGCCGATTTATTCTTTCAAAGCAAATACACTTATATACACTGGTACTGACTAGTAATCCAATGTTTCTCTTCTCCGTCAGCTTTTCTCCATCACTGAGCTAATGTGACCCCAGCACTGATGGAGAGGGGCAGGGGATGATCAAACTAGGATGCTGTGCAGGCAACTGACAACCTCCTCATCAACTGATGTTATTGGCAGGACGCCTGTGGCTAGAAGGTCATAAAAGTGCACTATGAAAACCTGTGGCTTTGTGTAACTAAAAGGCCGGATTGTTCCACCCGCTGACTTTTATACAAGTTTTGGGCAATTTTTAGACATTTTGCCAAGGCACCCCTGAAGAAACCTCAAGGCACCCTGGTTGAGAAAGGCTGCTCTAATATACTAAAGCTGGTTTTACATCAGTGACGGCATCATCATGCAGCCTGTTCATTTCTACTTCACAACTGAAAATGATGGAGACCATGATTAAGCCCTTAGTGGGGTAAAAAGCGTTGGAGCAGGAGGTGGACAGGAGAGACTATATGTCGTTACTCACGTACAGTCAGGTCCATAAATATTGGGACATCGACACAATTCTAACATTTTTAGCTCTATACACCACCACAATGGATTTGAAATGAAACGAACAAGATGTGCTTTAACTGCAGACTGTCAGCTTTAATTTGAGGGTATTTACATCCAAATCAGGTGAACGGTGTAGGAATTACAACAGTTTGCATATGTGCCTCCCACTTCTTAAGGGACCAAAAGTAATGGGACAATTGGCTTCTCAGCTGTTCCATGGCCAGGTGTGTGTTATTCCTTCATTATCCCAATTACAATGAGCAGATAAGAGGTCCAGAGTTCATTTCAAGTGTGATATTTGCATTTGGAATCTGTTGCTGTCAACTCTGAAGATGAGATCCAAAGAGCTGTCACTATCAGTGAAGCAAGCCATCATTAGGCTGAAAAAACAAATCAAACCCATCAGAGAGATAGCAAAAACATTAGGCGTGGCCAAAACAACTGTTTGTAACATTCTTAAAAAGAAGGAACGCACCAGTGAGCTCAGCAACACCAAAAGACCCAGACGACTATGGAAAACAACTGTGGTGGATGACCGAAGAATTCTTTCCCTGGTAAAGAAAACACCCTTCACAACAGTTGGCCAGATCAAGAACACTCTCCAGGAGGTAGGTGTATGTGTGTCAAAGTCAACAATCAAGAGAAGACTTCACCAGAGTGAATACAGAGGGTTCACCACAAGATGGAAACCATTGGTGAGCCTCAAAAACAGGAAGGCCAGATTAGAGTTTGCCAAAGGACATCTAAAACAGCCTTCACAGTTCTGGAACAACATCCTATGGACAGATGAGACCAAGATCAACTTGTACCAGAGTGATGGGAAGAGAAGAGTATGGAGAAGGAAAGGAACTGCTGATGATCCTAAGCATACCACCTCATCAGTGAAGCATGGTGGTGGTAGTGTCATGGCGTGGGCATGTATGGCTGCCAATGGAACTGGTTCTCTTGTATTTATTGATGATGTGACTGCTGACAAAAGCAGCAGGATGAATTCTGAAGTGTTTCAGGCAATATTATCTGCTCCTATTCAGCTAAATGCTTCAGAACTCATTGGACGAAGCTTCACAGTGCAGATGGACAATGACCCAAAGCAGACTGCAAAAGCAACCAAAGAGTTTTTTAAGGGAAAAAAGTGGAATGTTATGCAATGGCCAAGTCAATCACCTGACCTGAATCCGATTGAGCATGCATTTCACTTGCTGAAGACAAAACTGAAGGGAAAATGCCCCAAGAACAAGCAGGAACTGAAGACAGTCGCAGTAGAGGCCTGGCAGAGCATCCCCAGGGATGAAACCCAGCGTCTGGTGATGTCTATGCGTTCCAGACTTCAGGCTGTAATTGACTGCAAAGGATTTGCAACCAAGTATTAAAAAGTGAAAGTTTGATGTATGATTATTATTCTGTCCCATTACTTTTGGTCCCTTAAGAAGTGGGAGGCACATATGCAAACTGTTGTAATTCCTACACCGTTCACCTGATTTGGATGTAAATACCCTCAAATTAAAGCTGACAGTCTGCAGTTAAAGCACATCTTGTTCGTTTCATTTCAAATCCATTGTGGTGGTGTATAGAGCCAAAAATGTTAGAATTGTGTCGATGTCCCAATATTTATGGACCTGACTGTATTTATAGTGGTTCCAAAGTCTCAAGGTTTTTTACCTTCATGTATTCTTTTTTTTTTTTAAAGATTTTTATTGTTGCCAGACAAAGAGAACACACATATCATACAAATTTAGTTACAAAGCCAGAGCCATAAAAATCATATTAACCAGAATAAGAGAACACGCTTATGAATAACAAACATGTCAGCAGACATCATTACAGTTAAGTACTCACAGAGAAGCTCATAGCTCAGTTATACATTTCAGTCTAGCAAACATTTTTAAGATTAACCTTCAACTAAACCAAGAGAACCAAAAAAAGAACACAAAAAAATTGTATAGGAACTATACAAAACTCCTACAAAGATGATTTCCAATCTGATATTCTGCAAATGAAACCTTTCACTACCTCTATCCCACACCAGATGTACTCAGTCAGTTGGTTCCCCAGCCAGAGTGACTGAGGAGCCTTCCCAGCGAAACCAAAACCTATGTAAACTTTTTTGGACAACCAAGAACTTCATATATCATCCTATAGAGTGGAAGGGCGGAGTTAACCAACCGCTTCCACATTATCAGGATTATAGGCTCGTCATATATCCACCTCCATATATATATCCATATAACCAGCAATAAGCTCATGGACATAGAAAAAGAGGAGTCTAAGAAATAATTTCATTGTACTACTCATCTCTTCATCCTCAATGACTCCCAGGAGGCATAAGAGTGTTGCATATGTTCGGGAATCCAAAATCGCCCACTATAAACTCCTGAGACCATAAAATGCCTCACCTTAGGGCGGCAATCCCAAAGCATATTGAAAAAAAAAGTACCTTCAAGCCACTTAAATTTGTGGCATAATGCAGAGTCTAGCTTACGCATACTGAATAACCGTGCAAGGGTGTAATACGCCTGATGAATAATGGATAAATAATGTAACTGAATCATCCATCCGTAGAAGCAATAATGGCAGGGAGATAGGCACCTTCATCCACTGCTGCTCTGACAACTCTGGCACAAGGGCAGACCAGCAGTCCCTGGCTCTCCCAGGTAGCTGGGAAGTACAAGGCACCACGGCCATATAGTAACTAGCTGTTAATTTAGCATGATCAGAGTCTAACAAAAGAGCTTCCAATACCTTCATACATTCTATGCATGAAGGTAATAAACCTTCTGTGTGTAGCAGCTCCCCCTAACACTTACCTGAGCCCCCTCTTGATCCAGCAATGTCTCCAAGGACTCTCACTCCAGATTGGCTGAGGCAGCAGCAGGAGCCATTGGCTCCCACTACTGTCAATCACAACCAGTGAGCCAAACAGGAGGGAGGGGGTGGGGCCGAGCTGTGGCTGTGTGTGTGATTGGACACGCACAGCAGCAGCCTGGGAGCACGCCTGCTCGAGTGACCCCATAGCAAGCTATTTGCTATGCAGACACCTGACAGGAGGGAGGGGCCAGAAGCGCCGGTGGGGGAGCTGAGAAGAGGAGGATCCGGGCTGTTCTGTGCAAAACCACTACACACAGCAGGTAAGTATAGACATGTCTGTTATTTCCAAAGAAAAAAAAAACACAAGACTTCAGTATCACTTTAATATAAAAGTTGGTTTAACAATGGTGATGGCACTAGCATGTGGCCCATTCATTTCTACTTCACAAGTGTCCCAAAACCACACTAGATATATTCTAGAAGTTTAAATATCTTACCGTTTAGGGTCTTCATCCATGTGAGTTGTAACCTTCTCTTTTTCATATGTTTCAGCACCATCGTTTTCAGGCTCTGTAGTAGAGAAGTAACACAGTATGGAATCTTTCAAGTCACATTAACAATCCAGCAACAGGTTTTCACATAACACTGGATCTCAGAAGGCATATACCAAGTAATAGAAACCTCCATATACATCATTATGAGCATTGTTGTATGACCCAGTTTTATTTATGTATTTACAGTCCAAAAATGTGTTACTCCAGAACACATTTTAAGACATTTTCAGTTTTCATACTTGGGTGAGGGGGGTTGGGGATGGAATACCAGCCTGTTCAAAACAATGATAAACAGTGTAAAGACTATCAATTTACCCAGTCTATTCAGTGTATGCAAAAAGCTGAACTCTAGCATTACTTTTACTCTATGTGTATGATACCGTAGCCATACTCAAATAAGTAGTTTAAGTATACGTACGTACGTGTATTTTATTTATTTTCCTTTCCTCTATGTTTATAACAAATATTTAAAATCATATATATATATATATATATATATATATATATATATATATATATATATATATATATATATATATATATATATATAAAATTCTACCTCCTTATAGTTAAAATTTTACATTTAAATGCTACCATAAAATAGCAAGTCACCAGACTCTCCAAGGCGTTTTACATATTTTAGAGAAACTGACATAATTGTAGTGGTTTATAAATTATATAGAGGGTTCATCACCAGGAAATTTCCAATTAAACTCAGGATAGACATTTTTTATCCTAGTATGCCACCTAGTTGCCAAAGGAGAGAATGCATAAGTAAACACATGTAAGAATTAAACAAATCCATCAATAGGAATAGGGTTACACCTTCTAGGCCACTCTCTGGCATGTTATACTACTATATTGTCTTCACGATATAACAATACAAGTCAAGTACACTTGAGGACACTCATGATCTGAATGACCCTCACACACCATCAGAAAAATCAAAGGAAATCAGACACACATCATGTGAACTAGACTCCTTATCAGCAGGACACTCATCATCTGAAATCACTTCATCTGGACACGACCATTACACATCAGACTTCACAATCAAAGGTAACACATGGCCATCATCTGACACCTTACCGAATCTAGGACACACAGCTCCCTCCTAACTAGATGCCATTTAGGTGGCAGCCATTTTAGAAGAGTCTGGCCAAAAAAAGTCATTGTAAAGGGTAATTATATTTTCCATATTTACTATTAATTTTTCTAGGTGCAAGTATTTCATGCTGGTTGACTTGCTACCCCCATTAGGTCTCCTAACACCCCACAATTTAGTTATTTTCAGTTGCCTTACTGGCATAACTCTAGACAAACTTAACCTGGTAATTTTAATACAGCGGATTGTTATAAAAAAAACAAATCAAGTTAGAAGATCTATAAATGGGGAAATTAAATATTTAGTTTAATCCAATAGATATATCAAGGCTTTAGCAAATCATTGTAAAATTCTAGTATGTCAACCTATTAAACTCTTAGCAGTGTATGTGATTTATTGTAATAAATATTTATTTTCAACAGACCCAGAATATAGTCACACCAAAGAATTCTGCTTGGCTAAAGTTAACTCAAAATAATTAAGTCCGTTAAATTATTTTTACAAAAATTATTTTGCTATTGTAGGCACTGTGGTTCGAGCGATAAAAACGATCAATTTAGCTGATTAAATGAATCGTTCAGGCATTCCTTGACATGTGGATCAGTATTTTCTGCAATTCTCCTACTTTTCCCGATAATCAGTCCACCAATTATCACATCAACAGTCATCAGAATAGCAACTTTGACATGAGGAAGCAAAGACCTAATACTCTACCAAAATGGCTGCTTTCACACAGGCAAGAAAAAGAAACATAAAATACTGGTGATTAGTTCTTTGTCCTATACTCACCCTTTCTGGGCAATACTTCTACAGTTCAGGTCCTAAATAAAATGTTGATGTTATATGCTGCTCACAAATCCTTTACACTTCTTGCCCAAAATAAAATGCAAGTACAGGTATGAAAGGAAAATAAGAAAAAAGTAAAATACCTTCTTGGATACATTCAAGTGTCTGAGGTTTAGGGTGTGGTACGCTGCTTTCATCATCAGTTCTTGAGTGCTGGCTATCTATATCCTGGCTCTGTGATAGCTCTAGTGCCCCAAATGTGAGTTGAGATGTTCCAAACTCTAAAAAGAAATTAAAAAAGCAGATATCTGTTCATTACACAAGTATTTAGCTCCCTCCCCCCCTTACAAGTCAGCATCGGGAACAACCAGCTTTATGCAACTACAATATATTATAGAGCACACAACAGCCACATTATTTAATGGAACCAAGTTGTTTGGGCCAGCTTGGCCCAAACAAAATTATTATACACACAATTTTTATAGCGCCAACAGTTTGCGCAGCGCTTTACAAAATGAAGGCAGACATTACCATTATAGTACAATTTGGTACAAGAGAAATCAGAAGGCCCTGCTTGCTCGATTTAAAGGATAAATTTACCTCTGGGAACATGTTATATGTTCCACCTGTTTTTAGGGTGCCACTGCTGCAGCCGCTGCCTGATACTCCCCCAATCGCTGTGGTAGCAGTATGGGGAGAAGTTCCCCATACCAGCTGTCAGTTATTTTAAATCAGCACAATTTCGTGCAGTGCTCCACCCACACGACTGCAACTTTCATTCACAGAGTTTTGTGAATGAATGAACTACAAGTACTGACATACTTGTTGGCTTGTAGTTCTCAATGAACCACCACGGCGCTGTTCATACAGTCTTCCTGTCAGTGTTGAACTGTCTGATAGTTTAAACTGACAGTCTGCTGGAGACCTGCATGGCACCAGCGATCTGCTGATCGCTAGTGCAACCCTTTGTAAATAAATGCACATTTTTTTTTACTAGCAAAAAAAGTGCATCTATTTTTTTTTTTAAAAGTGAACTTCTACTTTAAGCCTAGGTCAGGGGTCTGCAACCTTTAAGACATAAGAGAGCCACTTGGACCCGTTTCCGAGAGGGAAAAAAAAGACTGGGAGCCGCAAAACCATTGCAACATTTAAAACAAATCCGACACTGCATATATTGCAAAAAGCGCTCTGGTCATGAAGGGGGTTTAAGGGCCCAGTAAGCAAAGGGTTAATCAGGCCACAGTATATCGTCATAATCACAGTCATAGCCTTAGGTCAGTGGTGGGCAACCTTTTTTTTTTTCAACTGAGCCAAATCTCGCCAAAAACCACGATTGAAATTTATTTTGAGAGCCACATTTTTAAAACTGAAAATACATCCCCCATATAGTAATTCATCCCCCCCTATAGTAATTCATCCCCCCCTATAGTAATTCATCCCCCCCTATAGTAATTCATCCCCCATATTAACCATTAGCCGCCCGGCCAATGGCCGTTTGGCGGCTTCAAATGTGCTCCTGTATTCCGGGTGCACACCATTTGGCGTGCTCCCGCACATGCGCGGTTGCAGAGCGACGCAGCAGTGCGATCTGTCACCGCCCGTGCACCTCGGACACGGCCGATGACAGATCCGAGTACCGGCTCCTGTTGCCGGTACCATGTGACCTGCTGTGACCAATCACAGCAGGTCACATGACAGTTGTATACAATGGATGGCTTCATTCATGATGCCATCCATTGTATACTAGTGCCTAGCTGTGAATGGTCACAGCTAATCACATGCACATGTCATGTGATTAGCTGTGTGACCAAACCACAGCTAAGCAAGCACAAAAAAAAAAAAAAAAAAAAAAAAAGCTGAATGAATCGATTTTCATTCAGGTAAATGCTTGCTTATAGCAAAGTAATTCTTTGCTATAAGCAAATTGTGTAAAAAAAAAAAAAAATACTGATCACTTCCCCAAAGTAGTACAATGTTACTATGGTAACATTGTACTATTTTGGTCATAGTAAAATATGAAAAAAAATATTAAAAAAAATTTAAAAAAATGTAATAAAAAATTAAATATAATAAAAAAAAAAAAATATATATATATATATATATATATATATATATATATATATATATATATATTTTTTTTTTTTTTTCATACTGTCACCAGTCAGTGTCGCTGTTCACCGCCATGCCAGTTATATGATGACGCTGTACTGCACTGGTGACAGTATGTAAAAAAACAAAATAGTGAAAATCATTTTTTTAATTTTTTCATTTTCCGAAAAATTATGACAAAAAAATACAACTTCAAAAAACTCGCCATGCCTCTTATGAAGTACGTCGGACTGTCTACTCTGCAAAAAGGGGTCATTTGGGGGATATCTGTACTGTTCTGACATTCTTGGACCTCAAGATATTAGATTGGCTGTTAGTACTTCAGGATTGATCAATTTTCAGATCTATACCATAGTTTGTGAACTCTATAACTTTCCTACAAACTAAAAAATACATCCTAATTTGGGTTATTTTCACCAAAGACATGTAGCAGAATACATCTCAGCCTAAATTTATGAAGAACAATTATTTATTTGTAAACTTTTATAACAGAAACAAAGAAAAATGTGTTTTTTTTTTCAAAATTTTTGGTCTTTTTTTGTTAATTTAGCAAAAAATAAAAACCCAGCGGTGATTAAATACCACCAAAAGAAAGCTCTAGTTGTGTGAAGAAAATGATAAAATTTTAGTTTGGGTACAATGTTGTATGACGCGCGCAATTGTCATTCAAAGTGTGAGAGCGCTGAAACCTGAAAAATGGCCTGGGCAGGAAGGTGTAAAATTGCACGGTATTGAAAGGGTTAATTCATCCCCCATATTAATTCATCCCTAATATTAAGTCCCCAAGTCCCCCCTGTGTCAATTCACTTACCTTTGCTCCGTGCGTTCCTCTCGCCGTGTTCCCGCGCCGTTACGGTGTAGCATGAAAATCTGTCTCCTATGAGGATCTGTCCCCCTCGACGTATCTGCGCATGTGCCAGTTTCAGGCATTAGCAGCCGATCGGCGATCTCCGGCACATGCGCAGATACGTCGAGGGGGACAGATCCTCATAGGAGACAGATTTTCATGCTACACCGGTCTTCAGGGCGGACTGTGAGAGGAGCCTAGCTCCGCGGGCTGGATTAAAAGGTCCGCCGGGCCGTAGTTTGCCCATTGCTGCCCTATTGCCTGTCACCTGGTGGGCAGTGTGCTCCGGAGCCGCAGCCAAGGTGAAAAAGAGCCGCATGCGCCTCTGGAGCCGCGGGTTGCCGACACCCGGCCTAGGTGTACATCTATGCAGTTGTGCAGCTGCAGTTTGACGGGCACGGCAGGCTATTCATTTGAAACGCGGGGAAAAAGTCTTGCACTCCTTTTTGGAATCGCAGCCCATATGGGAAATGCAAGCCTTCCATTAGGATTAAAATGGTACCCACCTACCGCTCCTGCGTCTCACCATACAGGCTGTTGCAGCTGCAGGAAGAGGTGCAGGTCCCGCCTGCACAGGTGTGAGCCTAGCCCAAAAGAACAGTGAAACCTGGAATTCTACTTTAACGAGTTTACCAAATACCAGAAATAGCACTTTGCTTCCTCTACCTGCAAATGGGAGCAATTTATGACACATCCAGTATTTTAGGTTGAGAATTTTCTGAGAACTCTAAAGCTAAAAAAAAAAAAAAAAAAAAATCATAGCACTGAACAGAACACAACTTCTCTCTTTTGTAATTTTACCTTCAGCTTCAAGTGACTGCGTGGAGCATTTGGCAGCTTCTTCAGGTTCAATACTTTCATCACAGTTGAAATTACTGAACGTGACAAAAAGACAATTATAACAGACATCATATTCATAAATAATCCAAAGAGTTCAAAACACAATATTACTGCAGCCACAGGACTATAATGTAAGTAAAATCTTATTATCACCAACTGCTACTCATGTACAAATATGTGTATTGTATGAAACAAATTAAAATAAATCAAAAAGGTTAACGAAAGAAACAAAAAAAAAATTGAATAACCTCAATCATACAGACCTGTTAAAGAGGTTATAGTGGTCAAAGGAGGTTTCAACTATGTTTTTATACACTGTGAAAGATAGGACATATTTTGCACTAGAAGTGCATGGAAAGGAGAAACATTGTTTGTATGCTTCTTTTATTATAGTCTTATTTCTAAAAACTCCCCTCCAAAAAAAATAAATAAAAAGAGCCTCCTTGAAAACGGACTACAGTGGGCTCGCTCTGTATACCATCTATGTAAAGAACACCTCCGGAAATGTAACTTGCTGGTCATGAGATTGCCTGGACATTTTTTTTTGTAGCATTCTTCCCTATTACCATCACCAAAAATGGCAATGTGGCAAAGAACTCCCTACTCAACACTACAGGAAATGAATGAAATCTGTCTGTCCATTTAAACAAACAGCAAAGTAGGACTTTTCAACAGTGTATGCTAAAATCCTTGTTAGAATGGCCAAAGACCAGCACCATTCAAATCCCCAACTTGCCTCTCTGGTTTACAAGGGGATCAGTCACCAAGCCCAAGCATAGGCCCTTGCTCTGCAAACATACAACAATAGTCCAGGAAGAGTCATACAAGGTTGATGTCACTCTATATACTTTTTTTTTTCAATAATCTGGCTTACTAAAAGTTCCTGTGGTCTCTCCCCTCTAAAGCACTGCACCCCTCTAGGGCTTAATCATAGGGTGTAGACACAAGGGGCAATTGACTGTGTGCCAATTCAGGTCTGTGTCTTCCCGGCATGGGATGCACAGGTGTTGTGTTGCACCTCTGTGCCAACAATCCATAAAAGTCTACTGGGACACGTGGCTGCACACAACAGAGCTGCTGTGTTCCAATGACATGCGGGTACAGGTCCCTGAACGCACACAGAGTGAGATTGGAGACCCGCACGCACCAGCATGTCATCTTCGAACACAGCGTTTCTGTCCGTGCAGCCGCCCAATAGACTTCTATGGACTTCCGCAAACTACATCAATCAATCAAGCGCCTCTGTGAATGGACCAATAGAGGTACGATTCTATGATTGAGGTCCATGGAGTGAAACGCATCAGTGGGGAGTGGCCATAGCCAGAGACCTTAACCCGTCTTCTGCACAACTGTTCAAATAGGGATTTCGCGCTGAAATCTCTCCATCGTGTAGCAACTGCATCCATTAGACGTGGTTACAGTGCAGCCCTATTCATTTCTACGGGGTGAGATTGAAGGCGGTATAAATCTGCCTAATGGGAAATGCTCTCTTTTGCTGCACCACAGCTAAAGCCTCATGGCCACAAAGCATGCATGGGGCTGATGGGAAAAAAGAAACAAATAAAAATATTGGGTTACATTTTAACTGCAGCAAAGAAATGTGATATCACCATCCTGGCGATGCCACTTAGGACGCAATCGAGATCACAAGGCTGGTTGAACAGAAATAGAACACTTATGGCAGACAGGACTGTTCTCAAATATGCATTTCAACCAAGCATGTAGTTGCTTTCAAAAAGACAGATTACCTGATTGTGTTGGCTGGGCATGGAATTCTTTCAATCACTTGGCTAAGCGCAGCAGCCCCTCCTGGTGTGTTCATTGGTTCCACTGAATCTAATGTAACAACAAGTGTTTATTAATTGTGCATTTTTTGTTTAAAAATTGCCTAAAAAGGTATATAATAAGGGTTTTCTGCTTTTAGGTGCCTTGTCCTGCCAATCATTCGAAAAGGTAAGCCAACCCACCTGTGTTGCAGCACATCACAATATATGGTAAGGTGATCAAAAATAGAAAATGATGCATCCATGTGTGCTGGTGCTTTAAGTATCAAAAACAAATCTGTGGCCTTAAAGCAACACATCAGAATGGGATGATATAAACAAGACCCTTAAAGTCAAACCAATTATGTAATGCAGTATATACTGGCTATACTACCATTTCTTCCTCCATACATATATTTGGGGAAAAAAAAAAAAAAAGATTTGCATGTGAGGAACCACACAGACATATCATCCAAGGAATCCCCAGGGCGGTGACGATTACCAGCATGTGCATCCAGCCAAAGAGATGTGTCACAGTGGGATTATTATTATAAAATACAGGATTTATATGGCACCAACAGTTTGCTCAGCACTTTACAAAATAAAGGGAGACAATACAGCAACAATACAAGAGGGTTAGGAGGGCCTGCTCCTTGGAGCTTACAATCTAAGAGGAAGAGGCTGGTGGTACAAAAAGGTAATAACTGTGGGGATGGACTGGTAGAAGGAATAGAAGATTCCATTAGATAGGCTTCCCTGAAGAGAGGTTTTCAGAGATCGCCTAAAAGTGGGCAGAGTAGGTGATAGCCTGATAAATTGGGGAAGAGCGTTCCAGAGGATGGGGGAGGCTCTGAAGAAGTCCTGGAGACTAGCATGGGAGGAAACAAGGGGCAGAGTTATAAATGGTTTTATATGTGATTAATAAATATTTTTAATTGTATTCATTGGGCAATGGGATGACACAGAAGAACCCTTTTCTAGCACCACAGCTTTTATCTACCTTTTCTAAGTCAGTTTCTTCAACTACATATACAATTTCCAGGTCTGACTGCATTCATTTCATGGGCAGCACAGTGACTAAATGGTTAGCACTTCCGCCTGGCAGTACTAGGGTCGCTGGTTCAAATCCCAACCACGGCACCACCTACCTGGAGTTTCTCCCTGTGCCTGCGTGGGTTTCCTCCGGGTATTCCGGTTTACTCCCACAGTCCAAAGACATGCTGGTAGGTTAATTGGCTCCTGTCTAAATTGTCCCTAGTATGTGTATGTATGAATGTGAGTTAGGGACCTTAGATTGTACGCCCCTTACGGGTTAGGGACTGATGTGAATGTACAATATATATGTAAAGCGCTGCGTAAATTGACAGCACTATATAAGTACCTGAAAAACAAAATATTTCCATCAACGAAATGCAAGAAAAAAAAGCTTGCTGGTTTAGAAACTGCAAGTCAATGCATTCAGCCTACGTTACCAAAATGGCAGGTTACCTTTATGGTTTTCTTTAGAAAGCTCATTTATTTCCATGCACTCTTTATCACCAAAAGAAAGTTTATTGCTTGGACAACCTTGTACATACTCCTAGAAGAAACAGAAAAGTCACTTTGAATATTATTCTCTAGCCAAATTTAAATCTCAAACATGTAGAGGTTCCAGAAAAACACAAGACATTTATACTTAGTTGAGCTGCTTACATCTGTTCTAGGCATAGATAGACATCATTTTATACTTAACAGACCAAACTGAGAAAGTTAAACAGATGACCTAAATGATAAGTGCCTGTGCCTTCCGGTAGCACAAAATGCCAGGAGGGGACAGACATGGGCTAAACGCCTAGTGTGCAAGTAGCCCAACTGTCCCCCACTCCCACCCTCTTTTTTATTATTTGTGTGTGAAATATGCTCACTTACTGACACACAAGCTGCTAAAACTACAGTTCTAAAACTAAATAAATATAATACAAAATAAACCCGCGCGCCTGAACCTAATAAAATGAATTATTAAGTGCTGCTGCTCATAGATGAAAGAAACATCAATTATAAATATAACTAAACTACAGAGCTGTGATTTAGTTATATCTAAAACTAAATAAACCCGCCTTCCATAGAAGGTGCACATGCACCCTGCAGCCCCATAGACTAATTGAATTTTGCCTCGTTTCATCAATTTACAGTTGATGGGAATTAAGTACAACCTATGGGGCTGCAGTGCGAATGTGCAAAGTTGAATAGGACATCTGAACAATAACATTTCTATGGATGATCACAGCTTCTGCATTGGAAGATGTTTTTTTTTTTTTTTGTTTTTTTTTTAATCTGAAGTTAATCTTTAAGTCACCACAGTGGTGGGTTGAATCCTCTCATAAGATGTTAATAGAGAGAATTTCCCAATACGGTGTCTAACTTTCCCCAGTTGGCTATGACAAAAGTGCCACTCTTGTACAGCTTGAATCCCTTATTAATGTGTTTATTCTATACAGTGGCTGAGGAAGAGGTCAGAGATCTTGCCAGCCTAAGATGGAAGAGGTCAGAGATCTTGCCAGCCGAAGATGGAAGAGGTCAGAGATCTTGCCAGCCGAAGATGGAAGAGGTCAGAGATCTTGCCAGCCGAAGATGGAAGAGGTCAGAGATCTTGCCAGCCGAAGATGGAAGAGGTCAGAGATCTTGCCAGCCGAAGATGGAAGAGGTCAGAGATCTTGCCAGCCGAAGATGGAAGAGGTCAGAGATCTTGCCAGCCGAAGATGGAAGAGGTCAGAGATCTTGCCAGCCGAAGATGGAAGAGGTCAGAGATCTTGCCAGCCGAAGATGGAAGAGGTCAGAGATCTTGCCAGCCGAAGATGGAAGAGGTCAGAGATCTTGCCAGCCGAGATGGAAGAGGTCAGAGATCTTGCCAGCCGAAGATGGAAGAGGTCAGAGATCTTGCCAGCCGAAGATGGAAGAGGTCAGAGATCTTGCCAGCCGAAGATGGAAGAGGTCAGAGATCTTGCCAGCCGAAGATGGAAGAGGTCAGAGATCTTGCCAGCCGAAGATGGAAGAGGTCAGAGATCTTGCCAGCCGAAGATGGAAGAGGGTCAGAGATCTTGCCAGCCGAAGATGGAAGAGGTCAGAGATCTTGCCAGCCGAAGATGGAAGAGGTCAGAGATCTTGCCAGCCGAAGATGGAAGGTCAGAGATCTTGCCAGCCGAAGATGGAAGAGGTCAGAGATCTTGCCAGCCTAAGATGGAAGAGGTCAGAGATCTTGCCAGCCTAAGATGGAAGAGGTCAGAGATCTTGCCAGCCTAAGATGGAAGAGGTCAGAGATCTTGCCAGCCGAAGATGGAAGAGGTCAGAGATCTTGCCAGCCTAAGATGGAAGAGGTCAGAGATCTTGCCAGCCAAACAGGTCATATACTGACCAAGCTTCTACCAGTGAACTGGCCAACATTGGTGGGTGGCCCCCTCACGTCTCAGATCCCTCAATTGAAACATGGAAGTAGCCAAGTGGAAAACGGTCATCCGAACAGCACCTGCATCCAATGTGCAGACGCTGTACAGGTATTTTGAGAGCTGGCAGGTCCATCTCACAAAACACAATACTCGTAGTAGGAGACAAGTCTATCTGCATTGTGTAAGCATGGATGGAGGAATCTTAGGGTTTTCTCCGTTTGGACGGTGTTCTTTTGTCAGTATAATTTTTCTCCACTTTTCTGAAGATTAAGAACTCTTTCAGACATTAGCTTGACACAGGTCATCTGTGCAATAAAAAATGTGACTCAACTGGACATCAAAGAAACTTGACAGAAATATATTTGTGGGTGGAGCCGACCTTTAAACTGTAGAACACAATCAGAGTAAATGAAGTAGAACTCATACCAAGACAGGACTTTCTACATTTGACTGTAGATTTGACAGATGCTGAGGAAGCAGTCCAAACCGAGCACGATCCAGGTCATCTTCTTCTGTCCCCAAACTTTCTGGTTGGGAGTCTTCAACAATCAAACATGGTGTGTCTTGTGGTGAAAAGTCCGAGTCCAACTGACTCCTTGTGGGGTCCATCTTCTTTCCTAGAAATACCCATAACAGTACAGAGTAAGTCATAGACATACAAGGCTGACTGGAGTGAGATAGACAATAGCAGGAAGACATTGAGCTGGAAAAAAGAATACAGGAGGAAACTACCTAAATCAGCCTAGAGGTCATCAATATTACCAGGCTGCATTGTGGTAACTCATAATGGGAAAAAAATATATCTATCTATCTATATACACACACCAGGGTGGATAAAAATCAATCAAAAAAAAAAAAAAAAAAAAAAAAAAAAAAAAAATCGGATTTTTTTTATTTAAATCGGATTTTTTTTATTTAAATCAGATTTATTTAAATAAAATGCTTTTTGAGGAAAATATATTACCATCTAAAGGTTATTCCATCATGAAATAAAGATTAGTTTTTTAATTATGTAGAATAAGGCTGTATATGTTTAATTTTTTTGGTAAATAAATTCCATTAATCCATTCACAATGTCATGCTCTTCCAGAGGTTTTTGTAAGATTATTGGGCGGTTTCTCTGCCTACAAGATATTATCACAGATGTTGGTTTACTTTTGCAGTTCTCAAAACTGAATTTGACTCAGCGGAGATCACATGCCTCTTCTCACAGCAAACATGTTATAACATGAACAGAGTTAAGAAAAAGACCTTCATCCTAACTTCTACAAACCTATGAATACAGAATCAACCCCTTCACTGCTAAATTTCAAGAAGTTCAGTGAATAGAATAGAAACAATATTTTTCTGATTGTTTGGAGTGGAATAGATCTGCACAAGAAGAAAGTGAAACTAAGTGTGAGGAGGAAGGGGCTGACAGTCTAAGTTTCTTAAAATATATATATTTTGTTTAGCCAAATTAGTTAACAAACATGGATGTTTAAGCAAATCACATATGCTGGAATGTTATTGTTTCAGTTGAATAAATCTATTTAAATTGTTATTATTAAGGTAATGATTATTTTTCTCCTTCCTAAGTACAACAGAAAAGTTGTCCAAATATGAATGATTAACCTATTAAACTGGGGATAAAAAAAACTAATATGAAAAGTTGTTATTCTAAAAATCTTTATCTACTTGCATATTAAAGTTATACCAGCAAGAAGTAGTCTTTATGTAGAAAACTAGGATTTAAATCAAGCCTTACTGACTAATGATTTAAATCAAATCCACCCTGACACACACACACACGATGGCAAATTGTTGGTGCCTGTTAGCTGATGCCTCTGTGATGTAACTTGCCAATTTGTTTGCGGTGTCGCAGGGTACAATAATAAAGGTTATGATGGCATATACAGTTTCCGGGAAAACGTCCTCTGTTAAGCATAACTATCATGGTCAATTCACCAAAAGAGACAAAAAAGGACATTGCATAGGATTGTGGCCTGGAATAAGAAAACAACCGCTGCAAAAGTGACTGCAGAGCTCAATCTCAGTCCTCTGAAGACTGAGATTGAGTGCTGCTGTCACTTTTCCAGCAGTTGTCTTAAAAAAAAAAAAAAAATCACATGGGATCTTTGGACTGCTTACCTAATACAACTACTTGGATGCTTGGAAAGTCATGGGTGTGCAGTTTGTTTCTCCAGTTTGAATGACAGTTCATAAACTTTTATTTACACAGTGGAGTTGCGATGTGGTAGTCTGCATCGCAACCCACAGTAGTGGTGTGACCTGACACCATAGGAAACGAGGCTTTTTTTGTCATGCTGGGCAAGACTGCCTAGAGTTCCCAGTGCACCTGGTGACCTAAATATCACCAACTTGTTAAAGACTTATCACAGTCAATATATAAGTGATCAATGCTGCAGGTTAGTCCTTTTCTTCTGGTAGGTTGCCGAGTACATGGAATTTTGTTCTGTGTTTTGTTTGCATGGACTTGTTATCCATGTATATACTGCATTTCCCTGATGCAAACGTGACCGAAGCTTTGCAAATTAAAATTCAATATATTTGTTGCTTTTTTAACCTTCTTGTCCGATACAAGACAAAAGTGCATGTTCTATAAAAAAAAAAAAAAAAAAAAAAGTGTGTGTACTCACCTATTTTTAATCTGCCCCAGTCCAGTCACGCAAACCTGAAGCTCCTCGCCCATGTTGGTGAGCAACTGCTGCAGGTAAGAGGAGGAAGAACCGACAATGTCTGGGTCATGGCAGCCTATGGGAGATGCCATGGCTCCCAATTTTCACAGCTGTTTTTCAGCACTCTCCTAGCCAGAGCTGCAGGATCACATGACTGGACCGGACCCATAGGTAATTTTACTTTTTTTTTTTTTTTTTTTTTTTTTTTTTTTAAATGTAGGAGTTAGGCAAGATAAATAGGAGGAAAGGACATTTTTTTTTTTTTTTTTAGAGTTACGTTGGCCGTGGATGAGTTGAAAGTATTTCGAAAATTTGTTCGCATTTGAGAAAAGATCCGTCAAGCAAGTGTGTGATAACATCGATAGAAATTTTTCCCCCCCACTTGTTGACATATTGTCATTCGTGCACAAAAAACAAACAAGAAAAAAAAAAAAAAAAAAAAAAAGTTACATCTTTTGTTGATCAATTCCAGAATAAACAATCATGCGCAATACGATTTATCCTGTTATTTTGAATCGATTCTGCTCTCACACTTCTAAAATTGTGAGCTCATAGTAAAATAATTCCAACATGTCTTTGTTTTTGTGTCACAAATCTTTGCATGTCAAGAATATGAGCCCACTAACAATTAGAAAGTTCGAACTATTTTCTATTAATCTATGGCCAGCTTTAGACTTTGGTTTTTCTTTAAATTAAATAAAGTCAGATTTAATGAATCATTGTTTATTTTTTATTCCTGCCATCACACTTAGGCTCCTTTCACATGGGTGGTGTCTGTTCAGTCTCTGCAGTAGACCCTAGATGGATCCCCCTGTGTTGGATCAGAATAGTATGGATGCCACATCTATGACACCCGAGTCAGTTCCAGTATCAGTTTTTCCTCCATGTCATAAAGGGACCCGTGTAATCCCTATGGGTGGGTGGATGTAAGTGGACTTGCATCCACTTTATCTGTCCACCGCCAGTCCAATCAATAAAAGGGGACCCAAATGCAAACTTTCAGTTCAGTCTAACAGACCTGAAAGGACCAGAGGTGGGCAGATATACAGTGGTTGGACAAAATTATGGAACAAAAATGAAATGGTTACCTAACATGGTGTTGGACAGCTTTTTGCATTGAAGACGACCTGAATTCTCCTGGGAATTGATAAATATATAAGTCTTAGATGGTGGAAATTCTAATCCGATACCACTCTTCATGTAAAAATCGTTCCAGTTCTCGCAGAGTTACCGGCGGCGGAAAATAAGCCAGAACCTTGTTCTCCAAAATCGACCATAGTGGCTCTATGATACTGAGGTCTGGCGACTGCGGCGCCCCTGGAAGGTGCTAGACTTCGTCTGCATGCTCATCAAACCACGATTTCACAACACCAGCTGTGTGAATCGGAGCATTATCGTCTTGGTAAATGACACGGTCTTCGGGAAACAATGTCTGCACCATGAGTTGTACTCTAAATGTCAAGGTGATGATGGGGCCTGCAGAATACAAAGATATGGCTGCCAAAACCATGACTGTGCCAACCCCCAAGCTTTACCGTTGACACGACAGTCCTGGTCATAAGCTTGGGATGGTGTTTGCCACACATAAACACGTTGAAATTCATCAATTTACTTCCATTCACTGCTGGCCATGGATGTCAAAAATTCAATAACCTACATCTATCCAGTGCTGGCTATAAATATTGCACAGTCAACAATAGGGTATAATCCCTCACACCAGCCTTTCTAGACATTTTTGCTCCACAGGAACCCTTGAAATAATTTTCAGGTTGCAGGAAAGCCTTGCTAAAACCAATTCACTGGAGGTCAGTGTGCAAAATGCCCCTTACATAGGTGGTCAGAGGAAAGAAGGACCCCATTACAGTGGTGGTCAGATTGCCACCTTCACAAGCAGCTAAAAAGTTAATTGGTGTCATGCAGTGGTCAATGCTAAATGGCATTGGCCCTGGAATTATACAGGCACCATCAAATGGTCAGTCAGCCACAGCTCAAGGAACTCCTGGAGCTCAACAGAACCCAGGTTGAGAATGGCTGCTTTATACAATGAACTGCTTTTACACATTTACTTTTCATTCTGTATCAATTTACAAACACAATCAAAAATATAAGTATTACAAAAAAAAAAAAAAAAATCAAGAAGAATACATTATTTTCTGCTTCCCAAGAATATAGTCCCTTCTGTAATCTCTGAAATTCCTTACAGCAGGCATGCTCAACCCGTAGAACATGGATCCGTCAGATGTGGCCCACGACCTCAAACTTATAGAAACCCGCACAACCTCATTCGGGTGCATGTTGCTCTACTGAATTATTGTTGGTCCTCCACAATCCTGGCAGCGGTCACAAGCCACTATTGCAGCCAGCTCTACGCTCATCTCTTTCCCAACATGCAGACACAGGGAGAGGAGCCTTTAACCGAGTGGATTACATCTAGTGGCATCCATACTTGGGTTCTGAAGGTGGAATCTCACAGTTGTGTCATGTCAGGAGCATTGAGTGCAACATATGTCATTTAGTCTTTGCTTCATGACAAAATTTATTTAAATACAAATCTACATTTTTGAAATGCATGTACAAATTATGTTAAAAAAAATCTGAAGAATATCATTTTAAAAAAATAAATTTTTAAAAATATATATTTTTTTTATATATAATCTTCAGATTTTTTAACATATAAAAAGTAATTTTAACATATATTTTTGTACATAGTTGTAAATTCATAAAAAAAAATGTAGATTCATATTTTTAAAGACATACAGTATATTTAAAATATTTTTCATATATTTTGCAATAAAAATGCATTTCTACAGATATATAGATATACACACACAAATATATATATACACATATACACACACACAGATAGATAATGGCCAAAATTGTATCATTTCAAATATATCAATTTATTTGGGATGAATATTTTTAAAATAT